TAAAAAAAACCAGAGTGAGGAAGACAAAATGATCTATAAGATTAGGCAGAAAGAGGCTAAGCAAGTTATAAGAGCTTCCAAATCACACACAGAAGAGAAAATAGCACAGTCAGTAAAAAAGGGGGATAAAACATTTTTTAGATACATAAATGAGAAAAGAAAAGTAAAACAAGGATTAGTTAGATTAAAAACAAAAGAAGGAAGTTATGTAGAAGAGGATAAAGGTCTAGCTGACTGCCTCAATGAATATTTTTGTTCTGTATTTACAGATGAAAATGAAGGAAAGGGACCTCAGTTAAGAAAAAGGATAAATGAGTCATTTATTACACGTGAGTTTACAGAGGAAGAGGTTCTATTTCAACTGTCAAAAGTAAAGACAAATAAGTCAATGGGACCTGATGGAATACACCCAAAGCTATTAAAAGAGCTTAGTGGTGTACTACCAAACCATTGACAGATTTATTTAACCAATCATTGTTAACAGGAGAAGTCCCAGAAGATTGGAAGTTAGCGAATGTTGTGCCCATTTACAAGAAAGGTAATAGGGAGGAGTCGGGCAACTATAGGCCAGTAAGCCTTACTTCAGTAGTGGGGAAAGTGATGGAAACCATGTTAAAGGATAGGATTGTTGAACATCTAAAAACACATGGATTTCAAGATCAGAGACAACATGGGTTTACTTCAGGGAGATCATGCCAAACTAATCTTATTGATTTTTTTGTTTGGGTAACTAAAATTAGTGCAGTAGACATTGCTTACCTAGATTTCAGTAAGGCTTTTGACACTGTTGCACATAGAAGGCTTATCAATAAACTGCAATATTTAAGTTTGGATTCCAATATTGTTGAATGGGCAAGGCAGTGGCTGAGTGACAGGCAACAGAGGGTTGTTGTTAATGGAATATATTCAAAGCTTGGACTTGTCACCAGTGGGGTACCTCAGGCATCTGTACTTGGACCCATTCTCTTTAATATTTTTATTAGTGATATTGCAGAAGGTCTTGATGGTAAGGTATGTCTTTTTGCTGATGATACTAAGATATGTAACAGGGTTGATGTTCCAGGAGGATAAGCCAAATGACAAATGATTTAGGTAAACTAGAAAAATGGTCAGAATTGTGGCAACTGACATTTAATGTGGATAAGTGCAAGATAATGCATCTTGGACGTAAAAACCCAAGGGCAGAGTACAGAATATTTGATAGAGTCTAACCTCAACATATGAGGAAAGGGATTTAGGGGTGATTATTTCTGATGACTTAAAGGTAGGCAGACAATGTAATAGAGCAGCAGGAAATTCTAGCAGAATGCTTGGTTGTATAGGGAGAGGTATTAGCAGTAGAAAGAGGGAAGTGCTCATGCCATTGTACAGAACACTGGTGAGACCTCACTTGGAGTATTGTACACAGTACTGGAGACCGTATCTTCAGAAGGATATTGATACCTTAGAGAGGGTTCAGAGAAGGGCTACTAAACTGGTTCATGGATTGCGGGATAAAACTTACCAGGAAAGGTTAAAGGATCTTAACATGTATAGTTTGGAGGAAAGACGAGACAGGGGGGATATGATAGAAACAGTTAAATATATAAAGGGAATCAACACAGTAAAGGAGGAGACTATATTTAAAAGAAGAAAAACTACCACAACAAGAGGACATAGTCTTAAATTAGAGGGACAAAGGTTTAAAAATAATATCAGGAAGTATTACTTTACTGAGAGGGTAGTGGATGCATGGAATAGCTTTTCAGCTGAAGTGGTAGAGGTTAACACAGTAAAGGAGTTTAAGCATGTGTGGGATAGGCATAAGGCTATCCTAGCTATAAAATAAGGCCAGGGACCTAATGAGAGTATTTAGAAAATTGGGCAGACTAGATGGGCCAAATGGTTCCTATCTGCCATCACATTCTATGTTTCTATGTTTCATGCTTCGATAAAGAATTAAAAGAAAAAGTAAAGAGTCAAATCATTTTTTTTAACCAGTTGATGTTGGGCTCTTGAAGATATGGTGTTTATAGTGCCGCTTAAACCTTCACACTGTTGTCCAAGGTACAATGGGTGCTGGTGATGCCTGCGTTGGTTATTTAAAACTTTATGTTATTTAAACTTTGTGTCTCTTGACTGATTTGTACCCTCCAGCACCAATATATTTAATTACTTTCCGGCTAATTCACTAATCAGTTCATGATCCTGATTATTTATCTTTAATTCAAAAGACTTTCAATCAAATCAAAAGAACCTAACTCACCCAACGTATTGCTGAAATTGTGGCTAAATGTTTTTTTAGATGACTCTCTCACAGTTTGCAATACATATTATTATTATTCATGAAGCACCAACAAATTCCGTAGTGCTGTATAATAGGTGGACTAACAGACATGTAATTGCAAAATGATGAGCTGGATGCACAGGAACAGAGTGCTGAGGGATTTGCTCAATGAGCTTACATTCTAAAGGGAATGAGGGGAAGTGGCACAAGAGGTAAGGAAAAGATGTATTTCATGTATGGGAAAAGTAAATTACTAGAATAGTGTACAATGAAGGGTTAGATTTTTGGATGATACATTTGCAGGAGAGGAAGCAAAGTGGGTTACCAAGCTGTGGGGGAAGAAAGCTATTATAGGGACACTATAGTCACCAGAACAACTGCAGCTTATTGTATTTTTTCTGGTGAGTATAATCCGTCCCTGCAGGCGATTTGCAGTAAACGCTGTCTTTTCAGAGAAAATACAGTGTTTACATTACAGCCTAGTGATAACTCCACTGGCCACTTCTCAGACAGCCACTAGAGGTGCTTCCTGGGGCAGTGCTGCACAGGGTGGAGCATGGGCGTTCAGTGTCTCCACGCTCTGCATGGATCTTTGACAGAGCTTAGGGCTCTGGACAGGACATACTTGTGTATCAGTGAAGATAGCTAGGAGCAGCATTGTTAAAAAACATTTTTTAAAAACTACCGCATTTCAGGGGGAGATGCCAAAATACATTTCTGCGTAGGTGACACGTAACCTAGGTACACCTCTGCTCACAAAGCTCCTGCTGTCAGAATATTTAGTTCTCATCTCTCCAGCATTTCAAGACCCTTGCACATCTATTTCACTTATGTGACACATGAGTGACACCTAGTGGTAATTAATGCTATCAGAACAAATTTATAGTATATGAAAAGTCTCTTTTTTGTATAATAAGGATTACAAACAAAAAATTATGTTAAATGTGTTCACTGTTTCCCAAAAAACTAAATTAGAATGAAATTACCTGAAATTCAAATTGTATTCATTGAAACTGCCATTGTCACTGAGACCATAACTGAGAACAGTGTATTATATAATGAAGGTTGTTTGCAAAATGTCCGGATTGGCACAAAGGCAAGGCAATTTGTTTCCTACATATCAGCTAAAGTCCTTATATTTATCAATAGTTGTATTAAAACAAATTGTACTACACGGGATTTAACCCAAATCATTGCCTAATAGTTCAGGGACTTCTCCAAAATTAATTCTTCATTTTGTAGCTCTAAATATAAATTTATGGAAAGGGGGAGGTGGGTTCTCTATGACCCCCTAGTACCAAGACAAAGACAAAACTCGTACCTCTTCTGTTAATCCCAATGTGGGTGAGAAGGTATAAATGAAATAACATACAGACCTCAGCATTCAGGCTTTCAAAACCATAAGGATAAAACCGATATTACTGGACCAACTTCAACGTTAACAATTCCAGTGAGCAGAGATCGCTCTGGTGAGTTCTGTTTGACCAAGAACAGGGGGACAACACCCCCAGTCCAAAAGCAACATATCCATTACAGTGGCATGTAGTAATTTAGGTGCAGAGAGAACTCATTAAATACCTGGTGTCCCTGCCAGTTCCTAATAAGATCAGTTATTTTTAAACATCAGCTCTTTATAGTGAACATAGATAATATAGCAGATGACAGAATGGTAACTTTATCTGCCATGTTAAGGAATCTACCAACAATAGGGTAGACATGGGTGTAATTCAGAAACCATGTAATATCCTTAAAATTTTTTGCTCTTTAAGTTTACAGAAAGCACACTCTTCAGCTTTATAGATATTTTTATTAGAGGGTTTTTCCAATCCATTTTGTTTTGTTTAAATATTGCCCTATTGGCATTAATCTGTAAGCTGAAACACTGCACGTCAAGATTCCTACAACCATGACCACTTTTAATAGCATTTAGCTGACAAACCACGCCCCTGCATAGGAATACTAGGCCCCCTAGAGACAGTATGTATACATGCAATTGAAGGAACATGCCAAGCAACTAAAGCCCTTTAGGTTGCTGAAGTGCCTTATATATGAAGTATGCCCTCATTTTACAAAAAGTGCAGGTTTCTAAAGACATTTGCACTTTTATAAATTAACCTTGTCACTCAGACAATAGACCTTCTTACTTCCTAGTTGTTTAGCTCATAAATTTAAGAGGCAGGAAAGGCCCAGAGCACCTGCCTTGCAAAGACTCCTCATTGAGCTGAGCTGGGAAGTCTGTGATTGGACAGCCACAGAAAGTCTGGGCGGGGTTAGAAGAAGACGGATTGCAATTAATCCAATGGAAAGGGAATGAGGACAACGCCACACTGCAGACTGTGGGTGACCTTAAAAGTTCCCTTCTATGGAGTTATTTCAGTGTTTTACTGTGGTCATACCTGGTGTCTTTGTAGATTAATTAGAAATTCTCTGTCTAATGGTTAGCGAGACAAAGGTCTGGGGTCAGACAGCCTAATCTTAGTTTACTCCTCTTATTTGGGTAGAATCGCTGAATATGGGCTGCATGAAGTGTATACAGCAATGATATGCCTGTAATCCCTGTACTGAGACATCCACAGGTCAGGGTAAAAAAATATATAGAAAATGTATTCAATAAAAAAAAAAAAAAAAAAAAAAAAATATATATATATATATATATATATATATATATAGGCAGTCACCAATTCAGCATAGGATATGGATTGCAGAAAAAAAAATAGTCCTACGCATTTCGTTCACTATGAACTTCCTCAGGGACCGCAGTTAAAACAATTACCATGTATCAATACAAAGTACAAAATAAACATATCCCATGTGATATGTTTAGGGATATGTTTATTTTGTACTTTGTATTGATACATGGTAATTGTTTTAACTGCGGTCCCTGAGGAAGTTCATAGTGAATGAAACGCGTAGGACTATTTTTTCTGCAATCCATATCCTATGCTGAATTGGTGACTGCCTATATATATATTTTTCTTTTATTGAATACATTTTCTATATATTTTTTTACCCTGACCTGTGGATGTCTCTTTGTGGAATAAGAATCCGGAGGTGATCAGAAGTATTGGTTGGCCCCCCCACTATACCGGGGGAGGCACCCTAAGAGCACTTATACTTGCCTACATCTAGTGAGTACAAAAGATTGCTGCGCACAGAATATTGTATTTTGTAACAATATTACACTATGTCTTGTTTTATGTTTTCTCTGTAGTTTCACACAGCCATATCCCAAATTGCTTTTGTTGTGGTTTCCTATATATGACATAGGTCGTTTTTTGGGGTAATGACCTAGGGAGGCTGTTACACGTTATTTAAAGCATTATCGTTTGTTATTTTTTTCCCTATTTGTATATTTTGGTGATATACATGTTAGCTACAGTATGTGTGTGTGTCTGTCAGTGTGTCAAATCAATGAGTGTATGTGTCTGTCAGTGAGTGTGTTTGTTAATGAGAGTATGTGTCTCTAAGTGAGTATGGGTCTATCAGTGTGTGTTAAATCAGTGAGAGTATGTGTCCGTCAGTAACTTTTTGTCAATGAGAGTGTGTCTGTCAGTGGTCAAATCAATGAGTGTGTTGGTAAGTGTGTTTTTCTGTCAATGTGTGTCATAAGTGAGCATTTGTCGGTCAGTGAATGTGTGTATGTCCGTGTGTGTCTGTCACAGAGACAGAGAGAGAGTGTGAGTAAAAAAAAAAAAAAAAGTATATATGTATCATATATAGAGGGCCCTGCGATTCCTAGTTACTAGTTAAACTAATATAGGAATCATCTGAAATTCACCAGGGAATTGTAAATGTAAGGTCAAAATAACTGAGCTAGAAACAGCAGATGGAGATTTTTTTTTTTTAATCCAGTTTTTTATTTTTCTTGACCAGTGCATTATAATGAAGATGGTAATATATATGAAGATGACTCCCAAAGCACTTGATATTTTAAGTGAATCTTGAAAATACGTAAATAAGGATATTTATGACTTTCAAGACCATTTCAAAAGCCTGGGAAGCTGTAAGGAGGACAGGAGTGCAAAGAAGTTGACGGTGAGCTCTGAAAAAGTGGCCACTCCCTCTGTACTATCTTTATGTCAAATTGTGGGACTGAGTTGTCGAAGAATTTTCACTAGGCATCGTGATTCTATAACAAAGAGGTCTTTGTGTAGACTATTAGCAACAGTAATGAATCCTTCTCTATCCTAGATTGTTCTTTCACAGCGTTTGTTTTATTATAATCAATGAGGTGACCGGTGCTTGCAGCAAAGATAAAGATTAAGTGTGTGGACACAGATCTGATGAAATTAGGCTCCAGTCGGGTGCTACAATGGAACAGTAATGGGAATTTCAGGCTCACATATATAATTCATTTTAAACTTTAGCAGCGTCGGCCGAGGCCAGAAGGATCCACGGTAACTGTACAATGTGTGACTTGCTCAATGCGGAAAGAAATATCCCAGAGGACGCTATTGATGATGCACGTTCCGTGAAACTAGGACTCAAAATTCATTACCAGTATGGGTTCCAATATGACCTGTGATTACATACTGTGGAGTCCGGAGAATGATTTAGTACTGAAAATGGGAAAATTAGATCAGATTGCAATTTATAAAGCAAAACGCTGCAAAATGGCCTCTGTGTCTTTTAACTTGCGTTGTTAGTCCAACAACAAAAAATAAAGTATCACTGCATACTGCAATACTCTGGTTATTGGATTATAGTTATTCACTAAAGATGGAGCTGGGGCCTGGATTACCATAAAATAATCCAGTACCATCAAGTGACTTTGAGACAGCACACTACATTGTTGACAAGATTTCCTACTGTTTGTATTCTGCATCTGAGTGGCCATGAAAATTCATTGCGTTTGAACCTGCACCAATACAACTGTGGAGGAGTTAACCCTGCAATGTAAATATTGCAGTTTATGAAAACTGCAATAATTACAGTTGCAGGATTAAGAGTAGTGTGAGTTGGCACCCAGACCACTCCAATGGGCAGAAGTGGTCTGGGTGCCTGGAGTGTCTCTTTAATGAATGTGAATTCCAATTTATATGCAAATTGCAAACCGGTTGACATTTGTTTTAACCAAATTTTGTTAATGCAGAATATATTAAATTCTTAGCAAATAACCAAGTATTCTACTACTGTATATGTGAGATATACATTTTGTTTGCTCTATATGTTTATATTTTAATCTATAACCATCGTCTTTAAACCTGTTATAATGACCCATCACATTAGCAATCCCAGCTCATACCCTTACGATGCTCACTAAAGCTTGCGTTTAAATTATCGTATGACTACTCCATGCTGTAACTTTGTTTTTGTTCACTTGTTAACTCCCTCAATAAAACAGTAGATACTTCAAACTTTAGATGAATATAATAGGCATAACAGAAACATGGTGGGATGAGACACATGACTGGGCAGTTAACTTAAATGGATACACGTTATTTAGGAAGGATAGGAAAAACAAGAAGCGTGGGGGTGTGTGTTTGTATGTCAGCCATGCGTTAAAGTCAAATCTTAGGCATGTGGAGTGTGACGAGGAAAATGTGGAAGCTTTATTGGTAGATATCTGCTTGGGGCAAACAAAGGGAAATAAATTATTGGTTTTGATATGTTATAAACCACCAAATGTAAATATTAATGAGGAAGAACTGTTGTTAGAGCAAATTGGGAAAGCTGCAAATCAGGGTAACACGTTAATTATTGGAGATTTTAATTACCCAGACATAAATTGGGATAGAGGGACTAGTACTTCAGCAAGGGGAATCCGGTTTTTGAATGTGTTAAATGACACCTTTATGTCACAACTGGATGCTTGTCTGGATCTCGTTATAACAAACAATGTTGATCTTTTAACCAACATTCAAGTCGGGGAGCATTTGGGAAATAGTGATCACAATATGGTAAATTTTGAAATAAACTCAAAAAAGCAAAAGCATGTGGGGTATATTAAAACTTATAATTTAAAAAAAGCCAATTTTAATAAGATTAGGGCAGCTCTACAACATATCGACTGGCATAAACTCCTTAGTGATAAAAACAATGAGGAAAAATGGAAACTATTCAAACAAATATTAGGAAGGTACATTTCACAGTATGTACCATTGGGTAATAAATATAAAAGAAACAAATTAAAACCAATGTGGCTTAGTAGAGAAGTAAAACAAGAGATTAAAAATAAGAAAAGGGCATTTAAAGCATTTAAATCGGACAAACCAGAGGCATCCTATATAAGATATAAGGAAGCCAATAATACTTGCAAAAAGGCAATTAAAGTGGCTAAACTAGAAAATTAGAAATTGATAGCCAAAGAATGCAAAACCAACCCCAAATTTTTTTTCAAGTACATCAATTCTAAAAAAAACTAAAATTGAAAGTGTAGGTACACTGAAAACAGAGATGGGTCTATTAGTTAATGAAGACCAGGAAAAGGCAGAAATTTTAAATATCTATTTTTCTTCAGTATATATTAATGAGGATCCTATGGCAAGAGATAAGCAAATGATGGCTGCAACAAACTTGCAGATAACTTGTGATTGGATGACTCAAGACAAGGTGCTACAGCAGTTAAAGAAAATTTATGTAAATAAAGCTCCGGGGCCTGACGGTATCCACCCACGAGTACTTAAGAAGCTAAGTGGGGAAATAAGTGAACCTCTGTATTTAATTTTTCAAGATTCTTTTGTTTCAAGTATTGTACCGGAGGATTGGAGGAAGGCAGATGTTGTTCCTATATTTAAAAAGGGTTCAAAATCTTTGCCTGGAAATTATAGACCTGTGAGCTTAACTTCTGTGACTGGGAAATTATTTTAATGGCTATTAAGGGATAATATTCAGGAATTCATTGGGAAGAACTGTGTTATTAGCAATAATCAGCATGGCTTTATGAAACATAGGTCATGTCAAACTAATTGCATTCTACGAAGAAGTAAGTAGAAGTATAGATCAGGGTGTTGCAGTGGATGTGATCTACTTGGATTTTGCCAAGGCATTTGATACAGTTCCTCACAATAGGTTAGTCTTCAAACTAAAAGAAATTGGTCTAGATGAATATTCTTGTTCTTGGGCAGAACATTGGCTTAAGGATAGAGTACAACGAGTTGTCATTAATGGTAAATTTTCAAGCTGGACAAAAGTGGTAAGTGGTGCCACTCAGAGTTCTGTTTTGGGACCGCTTCTATTTAACATATTTATTAATGATCTTGAAATGGGCATTGAAAGCCACGTATCAGTGTTTGCAGATGACACAAAACTTTATAAAGTAATAAAATGTGAGCAGGATATTGCCTTGCTGCAGAGGGATTTGGATAGATTGGGGGACTGGGCACTAAAATGGCAGACGAAATTTAACGTAGAGAAATGCAAAGACCACACCTTGAATATGCTGTGCAATTTTGGGCACCTGTTCTAAAGAAAGATATCATGGCACTAAAAAAAGTGCAGATACGAGCTACAAAATTGATAAAAGGAATGGAGCATTTTAGTTATGAAGAAAGGTTAAAAAATTAAAATCTCTTTAGTTTGGAAAAACGGCGCCTGGGAGGAGATATGATAACATTATACAAATATATTTGGGGCCAGTACAAACCATTATCTAGAAATCTATTCATAAACAGGGCTATACATAGGAGACATTTAGGCAGGAAGAAAGGAGATTTCATCTAAGGCAAAGAAAAGGTTTTTTTTACAGTAAGAGCAATAAGGATATGGAATTATCTGCCTGAAGAGGTGGTTTTGTCAGAGTCCATACAGATGTTTAAACTGCAATTGGATAAATACTTGCAAAAATATAACATACAGGGATATAATTTCTAATTAGTAGGGTAATAGCTGCTTGATCCAATGAGATATCTGACTGTTATTTTGGGGTCAAGAAGGAAGCGCTTCAGACTGGATTTTTTGCCTTCTTTTGGATCAACATTAAAAACATATGGGAGGAAGGCTGAACTTGATGGACGCAAGTCTCTTTTCAGCTATGTAACTATGTAACTATGAAGAAAAAATAAAAAAATAAAAACTTTTTTTGGAAGATGTAAATGAACATCAGATGAAATCACTTGGGGGGAGGAATCAATATTACCTATCTTCGCCAGGCTCAGCCTATGAAAACATTCTTACTGAAAATATTTGGCAACCCCCACCCCGCAGTTCTAATGTGTATTGTCAATAATGATAGGGTGAATAAAAACAGCACAGAAGTTTACATAAATGCTAAATGTTGAAATTACTATTGTTGACTTTATATCAGTCAGATTTCTCCTTATAACAAGAAGGATTTTTTCCTCCTGTTTATGGCATAAGTGGAAATTTTTGCAATTTTTTTTTCTTTTACTCTCAACAGTTTAAAAAAAAAAAAAAAGGAAGGTATTTCAAGGTTGAGCTTGATGGATTTCAACTCTTTCAACTTGGATTATCATAGAACCATGTAACAGACAGACATAAAATAATCAATTTGGTGTAAACCTGAGGATGGGCATCTTCAAATGTGGAAGTCCACACTTCCTATACCAAATAAAGAATCTGCTAAACCTCTGTACAGCCTACTTCTGACAATATTCTCAATACACCATGGGTAGTAGACATTTCAGTAACAGAATGCAAAGGTTTGGTTTAGTTCATGTGTTGTGTATTTTGCTTGTATTGAGGACAGACACATAACAAAGCTTGGTGTCACTGCGACTGCTGCTAATTTGTACATTCTTTTCATTAGCCTAGCCTTGGCCTGTGTCAGGAGGTCACGCTCAACCATGGTCTAACATAAGGGGATATTTGGTTCAGCTACCATGATCACTTAAGACATTTCCCTTCTACCAAACATGGTGCTTCTTTTAAGACTTTCTTTTTAGGCTAGAGATGCTGAATGCCATAGAGCTCCCAAGCAGATGTCACCATTGACTGGAGAAAAGATCAGCAAGCGTTCAGTCTGCAAGGTAAAAGAGGCTTACCATTCTTTTGGGTCGAGTCATATGCTAACTTACATATTGGGTCTATACCAAACATGGTACTGTAACAAGCATGCTGCAGCAATACCAAAGTTGTAAGTCACAAAATATAGTCCAACTTCACAGTTCTGCTCCTAAAGGAATTCCTGCTTAACCACATATATGGGTCCCACAAGGTACCAATATCAATTTATCATTACTCTACAAGAAGAATGCCTTTGTATCAAGACATGCTACTTTCTTTAAAAGGGACCCTCCCTCTAGACCTCTAAAGCACTTCAGCTTGCTAAAATGCTTTGTGTGTGAAGAGTGTGTACTCTCATTTTACAGAAAGTACAGATGTCAATAGAAAATGGCACTTTTATAAATTACCTTGTTACACCCCTGGGCTGTCAGGCAACAGGTCCTCATCTTGGTTTGGTTAGCTTAGTGGAGCTCAACTCAAGAGGCAACAATTGCTTAGAGCAGCTGCCTTGCAAAGGCTTCATTGAGCTGTATTGGGAAGTCTGTGATTGGACAGCCACAGTAAGTCTGGGCGGGGTTAGAAGGGCAGAAATAGCAAAGGCAGCAGACATGAGAACTGCGTAATAATTGTAGATTATGCTAACGTAGTGTACCTATAATCTTAATTTTAATAATGACCGGAGGCGAGTATTTTGCATAACTTTCTTTACTTTATGCCTCCAGCAGCACAAGTCAATCAATAAACTTTAAACCAATCAGTAACAGGCATCACATCCATATATAAAGCCCTGACAGACACATGACTTCCTCTTTCTTTGATGCGAAAAACAGTCTATTATAACGTTAGGGAATTCAAATAACAGTCCTGATTAACGTGTAGAACATCACTTGAAACCTTCCAGCTTTATCTTGTCGAATCCATCTATGATGATTACGCTGAAAAGAACAGAAATACGTGAAAGGTGATGGAAACCAACTGTTGTCCACATTAAATCCAGTACTATACGTATCTATATTTATATTAAGTTAATATACTGAAACATTAAACAACCATAGTATACTTAATAATCAACACGGATCTAACACATGTCAACCAAATAAGCATCCCATAAATATACTGAATTACCAAAACCTTATAATTTACACTGAGAAAATGACAAACCAGAATATAAAAATTTTCCAGAGTATAGGGAGGGAAACAGGGAGGGAAAATACTCGCCTCCTGTCATTATTAAAATTAAGATTATAGGTACACTACGTTAGCATAATCTACAATTTTATCACATGACAGGAGGCTTCATATTTTGCATTTTTAAAGCTGTGGTATGAGCGAGAAGGATGCGTGTGTGGTTGACGAAAATAAATATACGGAAGTAGTTTATCCGTGTCCAATTCGTCGCTGTAAAATATAGAGGCCCCCTCGTGAAGTCCTGAGAAGCAGCCGCGCCTCTTACTGAATGAGTGCCCAAACACGTCTCCACCCTCGCTAGCGATAACAACCAATGAACCCATCTAGACACAGTGTTCATGGTAACTGGCTTGTATGGTTGGTATAAGACCAGCAGATGTTCTGAGTGTGACATTCTAAGTGTTGTCGTGATCTCCATGTAACAAAGTACCGCTTTAACTGCACAAAGACTGGGAAACCGTCGGTAACAGGGAACGATACGGACGCGGATAAGATATAGTTCTACGAGACACTGTAGAAATCATTCCTTCCGGTGATACCGGAAAGACCGTCTACGTCGAACTCAAGTACATCTGATACCCGACGAAAAGACCTAAAAGTAACATGACTCTGGCTAACGGCTGATGGAGGGATAAGACCGTGATATCTGACTAGCTCCAAAAGAACCAAATCAAAGTCCCACACCAGTGATACTTTGACGCATTGTTCTGGACAGTTTGATACCCCGCAGAAAGCGGCATATCAAAGGCTCCTGATCGACCGGAGTGTCGTGAATCGTGCTATGCGTCGTCGAAATCGCGGAACGAAGCCCGTTAATGGAACGTTCCGATCGGCCTGTAGTGAAAAGGTATGATAAAGATCCAGCATCGAGGAGATAGGGGTAATAAAGGGATCGCAGTCCCTTCCCATACAACAGCGAACTCCAGGTGTTCCATGCGGATAAGTTATTTCGGGGAATGCCTGGTGTCCATGATTCCCATAATAGGTCTCCAGTTGGTTGCGATAGTCCCTTGACATACCAGTCTCCCCTTAAAGACACCAATCTACCAACTCCAGATGCTCCTGCATTATCATTGGATGATGTTCTCCTTTTGGATCCGCCCGAAGGTAAGTTAAAACTGAAGGAGCAGAGGATGATCCCGATTAAGGACAACCCTTCTGGGTGTCACGCTTGACTCCTTTACCGCGGTAATGAGTACTACCGAAGTCTTCGCTATTCTGATCCCAATTTCATAGGTGTGTCCGGATCTCAGGCATTGAGCTTTCAGCCGCTGTCTGGCCTGGTAGTGAAGCGGTCCTGGGAAATAGTCAAAGGGTTATGGTGCCTTTCCGCCGTACCCGTCGAATTTCCTTACGAATCGTCTCTATCAATGCTGTGGGAAGGTGTAATCAGCCCAAGGTGGAATTTATTCCGAAGTAGAGGAACTGAATCACTCGGAACTGGGATCGAACCGATTCCTCTCTGTTCACTATGAATCCCAACAATTCCCGAAACTGTAAACATAAATCTCATTTGTAAACGTAGTCATGAATTGGATTTGCAAAAGGTAGGTCGTCTAGGTATGTGACAGCGGATACCCTTTGCTATTCAGAAACTTCATGAGGCACCATGTGAACCTGTAGGTAAGTGCCCTTCAAGTCCAACCTTGTAGATCCCCTAAGAGATGGATACCTTCCTTCTTGAGTTGTCGGTACGCCCCAAAACCATTGGGTTGGTGTAGGTTGATGACTGGGCAATAGTCTCCTATCTTCTTCCTTACTACCAAACTGTTGCTGAGATAAAGGGTTTTCCAAACGATAGTCCGTCCGCCTGAGGTCCTCGCTCTTTCGTCCCTAACTTCAATAGTTTGAAATCTATCTTTAATCCGGTTGCTTAGCGCCGTTCTGTGCACCTGTCTGCTTTGCGTTCCCCAATTTACATATTGCCCTTTGCACCCATTCCCTCACATCGTGAGCTTCTAGAGGTGAGTCTTGGGTGGGGTCAGGTCTGCAAAGTATAGAATTTTTTCCCGGGCTGATCATGTCCAGTATTTCGTCTTAACTCGTTTTGAGTCCTCCTCCTACACCTTTACATGGACCCCAGCCTGATCGGGACATACATATCACCATGAGCTCCACGGTGAGGACTATTTTGTTTGGATATAGAGGGCGTGGGCATTTCATCCTGAGCTTGTCTCGGATTTCTTTTCCCATAGGCCTCCTGAGCCAGAAGTGTGCCCGGTGCTCTGGTTAACCCCATTCGGATGACCCTGGGTGTCGGATGGTGCGTGAGTCAAAACAGGAGTGTCCAGTGTGCCAAAGAAAAACCTTTCTTGCTAGGCGGGTCTTGTCACTTTTACCTCTTCAGATGGAGACTCTTCTGCCCTCCATTCTTTCATGATCTCCAGAGAAGGGGGGGGGATGAAGTCCTCGTCCCCTGATTAAGGTTGTCCGACCTATGTTGTCGGTATCTCAATCTTCCATTGGTGTTGGTGCTGTTGCACCTGCTCTGTCGGATGGGTTGTTAGCCAGCATACTGGAGAGGACTTCTTCCCCTGAAGCTGCCATAGTGGCCTTAATCCTCGCCTGAAAATCGGTCGGGGATATTGAGGGAAGTCCGACATGTTGGTTCACACCCTTTCAGCCTGTGAGAGACAGGATCGTACAACAGTACACTTATTGTCACTCTGTGGGCCTCCGCGTATAACTAGGGTCACCCAGAATTTTGATCAATCAGTATCACTTTTGCAGGATCCGGGGAGTGGTCTGACAATGAGGACACCCTCAGTAAGACCGGGATGAGCGGTCTGCAATGTCGGAACGTAGCCAGAGTCTGGGAGACGTGAAAGCCTCAATATGTATAGTCCACGGGGTTAATCCTTATATGGTCTAGAATTGTGGAGTTTTGGCAGCACTGTGAGTTCTCCTTCTCGGTTAAGGGAAGGGCGTACGGAACCCCAGTCGAAGCATAGAGGTGTCGGGATACATGCCTCTAGTGCGCCCTGGTCTGTGCATACAATGACAACCGATTCCTCTCTGTTCACTATGAATCCCAACAATTCCCGAAACTGTAAACATAAATCTCATTTGTAAACGTAGTCATGAATTGGATTTGCAAACGGTAGGTCGTCTAGGTATGTGACAGCGGATACCCTTTGCTTTTCAGAAACTTCATGAGGCACCATGTGAACCTGTAGGTAAGTGCCCTTCAAGTCCAACCTTGTAGATCCCCTAAGAGATGGATACCTTCCTTCTTGAGTTGTCGGTACGCCCCAAAACCATTGGGTTGGTGTAGGTTGATGACTGGGCAATAGTCTCCTATCTTCTTCCTTACTACCAAACTGTTGCTGAGATAAAGGGTTTTCCAAACGATAGTCCGTCCGCCTGAGGTCCTCGCTCTTTCGTCCCTAACTTCAATAGTTTGAAATCTATCTTTAATCCGGTTGCTTTGTGCCGTTCTGTGCACCTGTCTGCTTTGCGTTCCCCAATTTACATATTGCCCTTTGCACCCATTCCCTCACATCGTGAGCTTCTAGAGGTGAGTCTTGGGTGGGGTCAGGTCTGCAAAGTATAGAATTTTTTCCCGGGCTGATCATGTCCAGTATTTCGTCTTAACTCGTTTTGAGTCCTCCTCCTACACCTTTACATGGACCCCAGCCTGATCGGGACATACATATCACCATGAGCTCCACGGTGAGGACTATTTTGTTTGGATATAGAGGGCGTGGGCATTTCATCCTGAGCTTGTCTCGGATTTCTTTTCCCATAGGCCTCCTGAGCCAGAAGTGTGCCCGGTGCTCTGGTTAACCCCATTCGGATGACCCTGGGTGTCGGATGGTGCGTGAGTCAAAACAGGAGTGTCCAGTGTGCCAAAGAAAAACCTTTCTTGCTAGGCGGGTCTTGTCACTTTTACCTCTTCAGATGGAGACTCTTCTGCCCTCCATTCTTTCATGATCTCCAGAGAAGGGGGGGGGATGAAGTCCTCGTCCCCTGATTAAGGTTGTCCGACCTATGTTGTCGGTATCTCAATCTTCCATTGGTGTTGGTGCTGTTGCACCTGCTCTGTCGGATGGGTTGTTAGCCAGCATACTGGAGAGGACTTCTTCCCCTGAAGCTGCCATAGTGGCCTTAATCCTCGCCTGAAAATCGGTCGGGGATATTGAGGGAAGTCCGACATGTTGGTTCACACCCTTTCAGCCTGTGAGAGACAGGATCGTACAACAGTACACTTATTGTCACTCTGTGGGCCTCCGCGTATAACTAGGGTCACCCAGAATTTTGATCAATCAGTATCACTTTTGCAGGATCCGGGGAGTGGTCTGACAATGAGGACACCCTCAGTAAGACCGGGATGAGCGGTCTGCAATGTCGGAACGTAGCCAGAGTCTGGGAGACGTGAAAGCCTCAATATGTATAGTCCACGGGGTTCATCCTTATATGGTCTAGAATTGTGGAGTTTTGGCAGCACTGTGAGTTCTCCTTCTCGGTTAAGGGAAGGGCGTACGGAACCCCAGTCGAAGCATAGAGGTGTCGGGATACATGCCTCTAGTGCGCCCTGGTCTGTGCATACAATGACAGAGCGTACTCTGAAGGTAGAAGCCCTAGGAAGGGCGCGGGGGGTCACCCCATCAGGCAGGGGGATCACCCCTTTGTACCTATGCCACTAGCACCGGAGTAATACTCGCTTGGGGGTCACCCAGCATAGGGGGGTCACCCCTGTATGAATGTTGGGACACTCTTTTGGTCTATGGGGTACCAAACAGGTGTCAGGTACGGTAGTACACTTATTGCCACTTAGTGGGCCTCCACGTACGACTGGGGGTCACCCAGAATTGTTTCAATCAGTACCACTTAGAGATTTCCTGGGAGTGGTCTGAGGAGGGGAACACCCTCAATAAGACCGGGATGAGCGGTCAGTAATGTCGGGACGTAGCCTGTGTATGGGCAGGTATGGTAGCCTCCAAATTATCCAAGGGGTCACCCTTATAGGATACAGTACTGTGGAGAATTGGCAGCACCGTGAGCTCTCCTTCCTGGCTCTGTAGATATACATGTATTCAGTGTGACCCGGTCTGTGCATACAGTAACAGATCGTACTCCGTGGATATGAGCCCGTCCTAGGGAGTGGGGGTTCTCCCCAGTATATGTATGTCACTAGTACCGGGATAATATTCGCTTGGGGGACACCCAGCGTAAGTGGGGTCACCCCTGTACCACAATGTCACTTTGGAGAGGTGTCTGCCATGCTTGGAGGTCACCCCTGTTAATCACTCCGTTATGTGCCTCCACTACTGTGTCCTGGGAGGTGTATCCCTGTGGGGAAGGAGTGTATCCAGAGTGTATTCAGGTTGTGAGGTCCAGTGGGAGTAGGGAGCTGAGTAAGTTATCAGCTCTATTTAATTTCCCTGCCAGCAGATAGAGTAATGCATCCACTATATGCCCACAGCAGGGAACAGTCCATTCATAATCCTCCAGGTGTACAATAAAACTGTTATTCAACATGTCAATCGTATAGAACACAATAGAGCAATCTGCCAGTAGACATGAGTACTGCATCCACTATATGCCCATAGCAGGGAACAGTCCATTCATATTCCTCCAGATGTACAATAAAACTGTTATTCAACATGTCAATTGTATAGAACAGAATAGAGCAAACTGTCAGTAGACATGAGTACTGCATCCACTATATGCACACAGCAGGGATCAGTCCTACATATTCATGCAGAGTTACATATAAAACTTTTATTTCACATGAAAAATATATTAAACAGTACAGAACTAGCTGCCAGTTCGTGGGAATCATTAACTGGCCAAACGACATTGCCGAAGTGAATCTCGCGAGTGCACCGAGATTCAAGATGGCCGCCGTTCGCGCGCAAAAGTGCTGTGCGGCCCTCGATCGCGGCCTGCGGCATGGAATAGAGTCCCCCCGACACCCCTAACCCCCAGAGACCTGCCCTGAAGTCCCAGCACCAATGAATAAAAAGCGTGCCCGCAGTAAAATGCAGCGATCGCCGAGACCAGAGTAAAGCATAGGAAAGAAAATGTGCCAGCAACAGAAACAGTTTAATAAAGCAGAAAATACAGGGTTAATTCGGGGGGAGAGTAACAGGGGGAGAATATCACACTATACAAGTCCAAATGGAAGGCAAGTGCAAGATAATGAAAAACATTTAGGCCAAAATTGCAGGACAAGCTAATAAAGTTTAACAAAAGTGGCCATGCATGTCCAGAAACAGTTTGGAGCAAAAACTGAATGTCTAGCATTAAAAATCTAACTAAAGTTACCATAGCAATATTAATAAAAACAGTTGGAGCAAACTGAAAGTCAAGTAATAAAGTTTAACCCCTTCAGGACGGGTGACGGACGAGGTCCGTCACAGAGGGGAGACCCTTAACGACGGGTGACGGACCTTGTCCGTCACACGGTAAAATTAACCCCGGATCGCCGCTATCGCGGCGATCGCGGGGTTAATGGTGCTCCCGGTATGCCTCTGCATTAGAGGCATACCGGGAGCACCCGGTCAGGCTGCCCAGCACATGTGCTCGCTCTGACCGCAAGTCAGAGCGAGCACATGTGCTCTGTATACTTACCTTCCGGCTCCCTGCACTTCCGGGTTCTGTGTGAAGTGCAGGGAGCCGGATCAGTGCTGATCCTGCCCCCTGCTGTTTAAAAAAAATAAAGTTAATTTAAAGTCCCCCCCCCTTACCCATTTTAATAAAAAATTAACCCCTTCCCTGCCAATTGATCACTGACTACAGTGATCAATTGGCAGGGATTACATTTTACTATGATCTGATTTTTTTTTTAACCCCTGAGGGTTAATTCTTTTTTTTTTAACCCTCAGGGGTTAAATTAATTAAATTAATTAATTAAATTATTTTTTACTTATATATTTAGCTAGCTGGGGTAGGTGGAAGTTAGTGGGGAATTGGGGGATTTGGCGTTAGGCTAACTAGGGGTTAACGTTAAAAAAAAGTTTTAAAATAAACTTTAAAAAGTTAAAAATTAAGCTTAAAAAATGTTTTAATAACATTTAAGTAAAAAAAACAAAAAAAACACACTTTACCTAGTCCAAATAAAAATTAACCCCTTCCCTGCCAGTCGATCACTGCCTACAGCGATCAAATAGAGATCACAGTATTATACTGTGATCTAATTTTTTTTAACCCCTGAGGATTAACTTTTATTTATTTTTTTAACCCTCAGGGGTTCAATTTATTTAATTAATTAATTTAAATATTTTATAACTATATATTTTGCTAGCTGGGGTGGGTGGGAGTTATGGGAAAATGGGGAATTTACTGTTAGTGCTGCGTACTGCTAGTTAGGGGTTAACGGTAAAAAAAAAAGCTTAGAAAAATGTTAAATCTGTAAAAAAGTTTTAAGAAAGTTTAGGAAAGTTTAAAAAAAATTTATAAGCAAAACAAAAGTTTAAAAACTAGTTTTTAAAAGTAAAACAGTTATAAAAAGTAAAAAAATACATTTTAAAAATGCTCATTACCACTACACTTGGAACAAACTAGAGAAAAAATTATCCCACGCCAAGGTTCAAAATATGCCTTTTGAATTACCCCAGGGTGTATTCTTTAATAAATAGTATGTGTTTGTGGGGAAGTTTCAATAACCAACCGTCTAAACTACTCCAAATTGGAACATGGACACAGCGTAAAACTTCAAAGTTAGAAAAAAACTGAATGGCTGCGTCTCAAATGCGCCCCTTCAACATCCACATATACCTGGCAAAGGTACATACGGGGGTATTGCTGTACTCAGCCGACATAGCTGAGCAACATATGAAGTATTATACAGTCATAGCACACATAAGGTTTGCAAAATATGCTGCGCAAACTCACTTTGTATGTCAAAAAGGCAGAAAAAACGCTTATTACCACTACATCTGGTACAAGCTAGCGGAAAAATGATCCCACGCTAAGGTTCAAACTATACCTTTTGAAACACCCTGGGGTGTCTACTTTAAGAAATGGTAGGCCTTTGTGGGGTAGTTTGAATTTAAAACCTGCGAAGATGCTTGGAAATTGCACATAGGCCCAGCGTCAAAATTCAAAGTTTGGTAAAAACGGATATGGCTTGGTCTCCTATATGGCACTGTAGCTTCACAAAATAGTGCCAAAGACATTCATTGGGGGTGTATTTTTACTCAAAAGACTTAGCTGAGTATAATTTGGGAGGTTTGAACTTAGTGGCACATATGAAATATACAAAACGCCCAGCAAAAATGCAATCCGTATGTAAAAAATGCACAAAATAATTTTTTACCACATACTTTGGCATATATTGGTGAAAAAATGGGGGTATGTTAAGGCACAATATGCACCTTATGAGATACCCTGGAGTGTCTACTTTTACAAATGGTAGGCCTTTGTGGGGGGTTTTTGAACAGTCAAACTGTTATAATACCCCAAATGGAAGCTAAGGCTCATTAAATCCATCTCTCAAAATTCTACTGTGAATACTGAAAAGGACAGGTATCCTGTATGGCACTGTAACTTCACGAAATAGTGCAAAAGACATACAATGGGGGTGTCATTTTACTCAGCAGATGTAACTGAACACAAAATAAAACTTTGTACAGGAATAGCACACACCAACTTTACAAAATATACACGAGAATTTCTCTGTTATAAGTTTGTGTGCCAAAAACCAAAAAGAACACAATTTTACTCCAATATTTAGCAGAGGTTGGCGGTGAAATGGCTACGTAGAAAGTGTCAAAACAACCTTAGGTAAATAGCCCGTGATGTCTACTTTATATAAATATATACTTTTGTGTGGCAATTTTGTTTTCTTTTATGGCTATTAAGCTTACAAGACAAACATACCAAATTCTAAAATCGCTCCACATTAAAAGTTTATTTTACTCCTTGTGCTTTGTGACCTGTAACTACCAAAAAAAACTTACAATCCCAGACACATTATATATTCTGTAAATCAGAACAAATAAATAAATTTATTTTTAATTACTTTCCTTAACCTGCACTAATTATGCACACATTATTATTGCAAAAACTGTAAAAAAAAACAATATTTTTCATTTTTTTTGCATTTTTCTGTATTTTTTTTATAATAAGTAAGCATTTATATATATATATATATGTTATATCAAATTAAAGCCCTTTCTGTCCTTTAAAAAACAGTATATAATATGTGTCGGTGCAATAAATGAGAGAGATGCAAATTGCAGTTGAACGCAAACAGCAAGAAAATGCAAAAATTGCTTGTGTCATTAAGCGTAAGTCAAGCTTCTGAAGCTGTGTCTTTAAGGGGTTAATTAAAGTGGTATCCAGAAAACCAGTTAGGATTAAAACTGAATGTCTAGCATAAGGTGTCTAACTACAGAGACCATAGCAATATTAATAAAAACAGTTTGGAGCAAACTGAAAGTTAAGCAATAAATGATTAACTAATGACAATTGCAATATCAGTAAAACAGCTTGGAGCAAAATAATCTGACCTGTGCCTTGGCTGGTAAGCAGCAAAGAAAGAGGAAGTCATGTGTCTGTCAGGGCTTTATATATGGATGTGATGCCTGTTACTGATTGGTTTAAAGTTTATTGATTGACTTGTGCTGCTGGAGGCATAAAGTAAAGAAAGTTATGAAAAATATGAAACCTCCTGTCATGTGATAAAATTAAAATGCATGTATGTATTCAATTGGTGAATATCTATTAATCATATATGGAGTTTTTTTTTTTTTTTTTAGACTTTAGCAGTGGAGTCTCCCTTAAAAAATAAATATATATTTTGAAATCAGGCAACAGATTTACGGATTTACTTAGTTAGAAATAACATGGATATACAGTGCCTTGCAAAAGTATTCACCCCCCTTGGCATTCTTCGTGTTTTGTTGCCTCACAACCTGGAATTAACATGGATTGTTTGAGGATTTGCATCATTTAATTTACAGAACATGCCCACAACATTGAAGATTTTTTATTGTGAAGCAAACAACAAATAGGACAAAATAACAGAATAAGTCAATGTGCATAACTATTCACCCCCCTAAATCAATACTTTGTAGCCACCTTTTGTGGCACAGCTCCAAGTCGCTTTGGATAAGTCTCTATGAGCTTGTCATATCTTACCACTGGGATTTTTGCCCATTCCTCCTTGCAAAACTGCTCCAGCTCCTTCAAGTTGGATGGTTTGCGCTTGTGAACAGCAATCTGTGTGTCCACAGATTTTCTATTGGATTGAGGTCTGGGCTTTGACTAGGCCATTCCAAAACATGGTTACATTGTTCCCCTTAAACCCCTCAAGTGTTGCTTTAGCAGTGTGTTTATGGTCATTTGGTACAGATTTTGCTGAAGAATATGCCTGTATTTAGCACCACCCATCTTTCCCTCAACTCTGAGCAGTTTCCCAGACCTGGCTGCTGAAAAACATCCCCACAGCATGATGCTGGGGATGGTGTTCTTTAGGTGATGTGATGTGTTGGGTTTGCACCAGACATAGCGTTTTTTTTGATGGTCGAAAAGTTCAATTTTAGTCTCATCAGACCAGAACACCTTCCTCCATACATTTTGGGAGTCTCCCACATGCCTTTTCGCAAACTCAAAACATGCCAAAGTAATGGCTTTCTTTTGGCAACTCTGCCATAAAGCCCAACTCTATGGAGCGTACGGCTTATTGTCATCCTATATACAGATACTCCAGTCTCTGCTGTGGAACTCTGCAGCTCCTCCAGGGTTACCCTAGGTCTCTGTGCTGCCTCTCTGATTAATGCCCTCCTTGCCCGGTCCGTGAGTTTTGGTGGGCGGCCGTCTCTTAGCAGGTTTGCTGATGTGCCATGGTTCTTTCCATTTGGTTATGATAGATTTGATGGTGCTCCTGAGGATCATTAAAGATTTGGATATTTTTTCATAACCTAACCCTGACTTGTACTTCTCAACAACAAGTCCCTTACTTGTTTGGAGAGTTCCTTGGTCTTCATGGCAGTGTTTGGTTAGTGGTGCCTCTTGCTTAGGTGTTGCAGCCTCTGGGGCCTTAAAAAAAAGGTTTGTGTATTTAATGACCGATCATGTAACACTTAGATTGCACACAGGTGGACATCATTTCACTAATTATGTGATTTCTGAAAGTAATTGGTTGCACCAGAGCTTTTTATGGGCTTCATAACAAAGGGAGTGAGTACATACGCACATGCCAATTTTCTGTTTTCTATTTCTAAAAAATAGTTTTATGTATATATTTTTCTCATTTCACTTCACCAACTTAGACTGTTGTGTTCTGACCCATCACATAAAATTCAGATTAATAAAACACTGAACTTAAGGCTGTAATGTAACAAAATAGGAAAAAAGTAAAGGAGGGTGAATACTTTTGCAAGGCACTGTAACTTAAGAAACATTTGTAAAGCACTGAACTGTATAAGCAGTAACATAAAATCAACCAGCAACTTTAATAAAAAATGAAAGCCAAGCCAAAGACATCCTGTCAAGCAAGTCTTAAAATGACACTACAGGCAACCAGACCATTTAATGTCAATGAAGTGGTCTGGATGCCATATGTCCCTCCCCCACCCTTTTATTAACTTTGCAAGTGATGCCCTGCAGAGTAGCATTTTTAATTGCAGGGTTTAACCCCTTAAGGACCAAACTTCTGGAATAAAAGGGAATCATGACATGTCACACGTCATATGTCCTTAAGGGGTTAAAGCAGCATTGTTACTGTTCCCCCTTCACCTCTAATTAGTATTTTGTAAAGATAGAATCTTAAAGAAATACTAATTTTAACAGTGTTGGCATTTTACAGAACTTCCAACCCAGTCAAGAGATATACTTCCTCCACCTGACTTTCTTAAGACACTGGTCGTAGGTACAGAGTCAATCCCGACAGCCGGCACCAGTGAAGGCTGCAGAGAACTAGCTCGGTCTATGGATCTTTAATAGACTGAAATACTGTACTCTTGTGCATACAGAAGAGGACAGGCTGGAGAAAGCTAGCCATGCCCATGTGGGACGGTTCAGTTAAGTAAATCTTACCTTTACCTGGCCACCAGTCGCAATGTCACGGTCAGGAGTCTTTGTGATGCTGCAAAGTCCGCAGATGGTGACTGTGCCAGTTTAAATGCCTCTAGTGCACAGGTTGGCAACTTACAGCCTGTAGAATGCAACCAGCTTCACCATACCACTTCACCAGCCAGTAACCTAATTGCTGCAAACTGTGGGATTCGCCATGCTGACTCCCCCCACCTTCTATTACTAACAGGGAGCATTCAGGAAACTGAGCCTAAATCCAGCACTGGGAAGAGGGGAACTGAAGATGTCAGTGAATATTGGCACAGGGAGCAAAGGGGGGCACTGCTAAGAATGTGTAATACTGTTGCATTAGAAGGGCAATGAGCCACAACTGGAATAAAATAGGAATGTTGCTAGAGAAGGGAGACATGCATGAGGAAAGAAAGGGAAAGGTGACATGGATGAGAGGAGATAGGTCCCTGCATTCATGGGAAGGTAGGAGGAACCTATTGAAATAGTTTGAATTATCATATGTCACCTGTTCAGTATAGGGCAACTACCCATGTGTACTGACCTAACGTGGTGGTGGGGAGTGGAAAGGATCAACCAAAAAAAACAAACAACACTTTTCCTTTATTTAGACCTTTAAGCGGTTTGGCACAGAGCTACCTTAATTTGGTATCCTTGTATATGGCAACTCCTCAATCAGGGGACCATCTACTAAACAGCTGAAATATCAAAATGAAGAATCAGGTTCCTTTCCTGTGTTTATTACAACTGTTGTCATTAATATTTTTATAGCTACATAGATGAATGTGATCCTCCATCAACACAGACATGGAATCCAACCCTCAAACCACTATTTCACATCAGATTGCCAGAGACCATCTGATTATTGTAGCACAGCGTTTTGCTGCTCGTACACACTAGCATCCCTATGGGGAAAGCATTTGATTGACAGAGATTCTCCATGATCTCAGGCAAGGAGATCAGACAGCAGAGTGGCGAGATAGAATGCTGTAGACCATATTGCAGTTATTGGTTTGCTATGGACAACCTTATAACACTTAAAGGACCACTCTAGGCACCCAGACCACTTCAGCTTAATGAAGTGGTCTGGGTGCCAGGTCCTTCTAGGGTTAACCCATTTTTTTTATAAACATAGCAGTTTCAGAGAAACTGCTATGTTTATGAATGGGTTAAGCCTTCCCCCTAATCCTCTAGTGGCTGTCTCATTGACGGCCACTAGAGGCGCTTGCGTGCTTCTCACTGTGAAAATCACAGTGAGAGCACGCAAGCGTCCATAGGAAAGCATTGTAAATGCTTTCCTATGAGACCGGCTGAATGCGCGCGCAGCTCTTGCCACGCGTGCGCATTCAGCCGGCGGGGCGTAACGGAGGCGGAGAGGAGGAGGAGAGCTCTCCGCCCAACGCTGGAAAAAGGTAAGTTTTTACCCCTTTCCCCCTTCCAGAGCCGGGCGGGAGGGGGTCCCTGAGGGTGGGGGCACCCTCAGGGCACTATAGTGCCAGGAAAACGAGTATGTTTTCCTGGCACTATAGTGGTCCTTTAAGCAATTCAATGTTTATTCTGGTTTGCATATGGGTCCTTCAAATGCTGAAAACAAAAAAGACATGTTTACCAGTCATCTTGTTACACAATACGCAGCTGATGACTTGGAGTGGACACATTCTCAAAACTACTTTATCCATGGATTATTTTTTTTGCGCACACACACAGGACATAATTACTGTGGTGAAACTTGTTTAGATGCTTCATGTTACCATTATTACATTCAAGAGACTATACACTGGGGCAATTTGATAAATCATAAACTACAACACCATGAGCTAGTTGAAAAGTAACATTAAATGTTAGTAGAAAATTGGCACTTTGGAAGTATTCCTACACTGAAGCAGTAAAAGATTTTCACAAAATTGAAGTGTGTATATTATCCCATTTTGAGAAAGCCACATTGGCGAAATGTGTACAGTGGGACCTCGGTTTACAAACGCCTCGGTTAACAATTTTCGGTTTACAAATGAAAATCTATTGAAAATAATGCCTCGGTTTACCAAAATACAAAGCAAGTTTCCCCAGGATGCATTGCACCTGGGAGGTTTATAGCACCGCCCCCTGCATGCTGGAGCCTGTGGGTAGCACGTGGCGTCGAGTGTGGAGGTGTTGGAGCGGCTTTTGCATCGAGTTCTGATGCCATTCTGGAAATTGTTTGCAGTTGTTTTGGGACTTTTTGGTGCATTTCTCAAGCTGTGGAAAGTTGGGGAACCGAGCTTCATCGTTTGCATGCCTTTTATTGTGTGTTCTGCATTGTGGGTTGGTTTCCGTGCCAGCCCATTTTGACTTTTTTCTGACCTCCAGAACGGATTAATTGGTTTTCAATGCATTCCTACAGGAAACTGCGTTTTGGTTTACAAATGTTTCGCAATAAACATCCCTGAGAACGCATTAAATTTGTAAACCGAGGTCCCACTGTATTTGGATGTTTATTTTTTATTTACTTTTACTAGTGAATAAAGGAATTCTTTTGGACAAATAGACCGGGTTTGTGCCAATTTCCTTTACCATTTTAAAATATATTTGATAATATATTTCCTTTGCTACTTGGCTTTTTACGACTAATCAAAAGAAATCCAAGGTAGAGATACCACCAGAGCTGATACCATCAAGCAGTAAGCCTGCCCTACGCTGTTACTCCAAGTAACTCTGAGGTGGGGATCATACCACCAATGCTATATCAATAGAGCAGTGTTTCTTCTCTACACTTGTGAGTATCACTATTATATACTCTATTTTATCACAATTGAGAGTACTATTGTTGCCTTTTATCTTCCCTTTGGAGCTTTGTATTACCAGACCGTGCTGACTGACACATCTTCACACATCCCATAAGCGGGGATTATACCGCTGTATGCTCTTCCCACCAAGAGTTGGCCATAGCTCTTAAAGGGAAACTCCAGTGCCAGGAAAACAGTTTTCCTGGCACTGCAGGTCCCTTCTCCCTCCCACCCCCCAATCCCCAGTTGCTGAAGGGGTGAAAACCCCTTCAATTACTTACCAGAGGCAGCGACATGTCCCACGTCGCTGCTTCTTCCTCCACCGCCGCTCCTCCCAGGGATTGCGTCAGCCGGTGGGAGACATAATGCACATGCGCATTAGAGCTCCCCACAGGAAACCATTGAAAATGCTTTCCTATAGGGAAACTAAGCGACGCTGGAGATCCTCACACAGTGTGAGGATGTCCAGCGACGGTCTAACCCAGGGTTTCTGTGCTATAAAGCAGGAAGTGCCCTCTAGTGGCTGTCTAGTAGACAGCAACTAGCAGATGAGTTAACCCTGCAAGGTAATTATTGCAGTTTATATAAAAAAAAAAAACTGCAATAATTACATTTGCAGGGTTAAGGGTAGGGGGAGTTGGCACCCAGACCACTCCAATGGGCAGAAGTGGTCTGCGTGCCTGGAGTGTCCCTTTAAACTGTGCGTTCTCTACCTTGTTTCTTACTGCATTGTTGGTTGCTTTCTGCTCTGCTTCATATATATGACCTAACACCCTGAGACATATGCACTCCAATTGAAGAGAATGTCTTATCAAGTTTCCCTGATTATCTTCTGCTACTCTAGCCAGACCTCCTACCGTCTCTAAGACTATTTTATTCGTTTTGGTCAGGGCCGTCTTTAACGCGGGGCAAACGGGGCAGCTGCCCCGGGCCCAATTACTCCTGGGGGCCCAAGGCAGCTGTCCCGTGGGCCCCGCTGCCCTAAAAAAATAAAATGTTTCCCGGCCGCTTTAGGGCCCCCCCGCACTGTAAGGAGTCCCACCGGGTGGCCCATGCACTTAGGGCCACCCGGTGGGCTTGTACCAGCAGGGGCCCGGTCGGGCGCTGTGGCCCTTTAACAGCGCGACCGGGCCTCTTGCTTTTCGGCACCGCTGGGAGGAAGTGAGTGCCAAGCGTCACTTCCTCCCATAAAGAGCTGCTGCGCGGGAGAAGAAGGACCTGCACGGGAGGGAGGAGGAGGCAGTGAGGATGGGGGCTCCTCACTCACATCATCCTCAGGCAGCACACTGGATCCCAGGGATGCCACCCTCCAGCAAAAGGTAGGAAACTGGAGGGTGGGCTTAAAATGTAAATTTTACATGTATGTCAGTTTGTCTGTGTGTATGTGTGTCAGTATGTCTGATAGTGTGTGTGTCAGTATGTCTGACAGTGTGTCTGTGTGTGTGTGTGTGTGTGTCAGTATGTCTGACAGTGTATGTGTCTGTGTGTGTCAGTATGTCTGTGTATGTCTGATAGTGTATGTGTGTATGTCAGTATGTTTGACAGTGTCTGCATCTGTGTGTGTGTCAGAAGGTCTGTGTGAGTGTATGTCAGTATGTATCTGTGTGTCAGTATGTCTCTGTGTGTGTCAGTGTGTCTGGTGTGTGTGTGTGTGTGTGTGTGTCAGTATGTCTGACAGTGTGTCTGTGTATGTCTGATAGTGTATGTCAGTATGTTTGACAGTGTCTGTATCTGTGTGTGTGTCAGAAGGTCTGTGTGAGTGTATGTCAGTATGTCTGACAGTGTATGTCTCTGTGTGTGTCAGTATGTCTCTGTGTGTGTCAGTATGTCTGGTGTGTGTGTGTGTGTGTGTGTGTGTGTCAGTATGTCTGGCAGTGTGTCTGTGTATGTCAGTATGTCTGATAGTGTATGTCAGTATGTTTGACAGTGTCTGTATCTGTGTGTGTGTCAGGTCTGTGTGAGTGTATGTCAGTATGTCTGACAGTGTATGTATCTGTGTGTGTCAGTATGTCTGTCAGTGTGTGTGCCTGTTTGTGTGTCAGTATGCCTATTAGTGTGTATGTGTGTGTGTGTGTGTCAGCATATCTATCAGTGTATGTATCTGTGTGTCAGTATGTCTCTGTGTGTGTCAGTATGTCTTCCAGTGTATGTGTGTGTGTGTGTCAGGCACATACACTGATATACATACTGATACAGGCACACTAATAGACATACTGACACACACAGGCACATACAATGACAAACATACACTGATAGACATACTGACACACACACACATGCACATATACAGACATACTGACACACACAAACACACACTTATACTGATAGCTATCCTGACACACACACACAGGCACATATACAGACATACTGACACACACACAGCCACATACGCTGATAGAGATACTGTGTGTGTGTTAGTATGTCTGTATATGTGCCTGTTTGTGTGTGTGTGTGTCAGTATGTCTATCAGTGTTTGTGCCTGTGTGTGTCAGTATGTTTGTCATCATATGTGCCTGTGAGACCGTTTGTGTCAGTGTGTGTTTCAGTATGTCTATCATTGTATGTATTTATGTGTGTCAGTATGTCTGTTTATCTGTCTGTGTATCTGTATGTGTCTGTGTGTTTATCTGTGTGCGTATCTGTATGTAGTCAGTGTGTGTATCTGCTTGTGTGTCAGCATGTCTACCTGTGTCTGAGCACAAACAATAAATACAAATACACCCTTCCATTCAAACTTCAACATTACATACAAACACACTCCTGCATTGAAAGTCAACACTTCATACAAACACACCTCTGTGTTAAACAACAGAATTATATATAAACAAACCCCTACATTCAAAAACCAGCACTACACTTAAATGTACACTTGCATTCAAACTCTAACACCACATACAAACACATTCACACAAACATACTCCATACAAAAACATGCTTACATTCAAACACACAAACACAGTGCTAAATACAACCCTGCAAGCATGGGAAATTGGTAGAGCCACGGCTGTCAATGCATTGTTGGAGTTGCACGACAGATAGGGTTCTACCTTCTTTCCAACCTTGCAATTGGGGGTCCAAATGAAATTCTTGCACCAGGGCTCTTTCTACTTTAGTTCGCCCACTGCGTTGGGGTGGAGGCGTGATTGCATGCTAGGGAGTGGATCCAGGGGGCCCAAGCAAATGCTTGCCCAGGGCCCAATCAATATTAAAGACGGCCCTGGTTTTGGTGCAGCCCCACTCTTTTGTGTTGTATATTAATTGTGTAGTATGACTAAGGTGCTACTAATATAGATTTTTTTTAAGTTCATACAAGGAGTAAAACCCTGGAGGAAGTAAAATGTCTTTATTAAAAAGGAATAACCTCCATCTGTAAGTCCTCATCCATAGTCATCAAGGAATAGCAGAGCTCCGTTAAACAAACTGTTGTGAGTGTTACTGCAATATATAAAGCAGGGAATCACTGGTCTCTTGTTGTGCTCTTTGCAAGTGAAGCTTACATGGTGCATGCCACATTTCACAGATGGCTATTTCACTGTCAAGGAATAAGTAGCAGCAGGTCCAGCTAGCACAAACAGGGATGGTAATGATATAATGCACTTAAATCCAATACCTACTTTAAAGAACTGTTAACAGTTGCTAGCAACACTCCACATTCAAAAATAACTAACATTTACTGTAGTGGTTATAGTGCCAGTGTGCCCTCCTACAGTAAATAGTTCAAACATTTAATAACTTTTCAACAATTTAGCTGGGTCCCACCAGGGGGTGAGGTTGCCGCCTTTGCAGCTGGAAGCTCTGCCAGGGAGTACTCCACTGACAATATCAGCTCTGCACAACTTAGATCAGTGGAAGCAGCAACAAGTGTCCAGCAGAGCCAGCTAAGTTACCAAACCATTCTGAAAAACTGTTTTAGCGATTTACTATGGGAGGGTACCTGGGCACTACTGACAGCATAACTACTACAATGAGCTGCTGTGGTTATGGTGCATTAAGTGTACATTGTAAGCAGATCTGTCAAGTTTGGTTTTTAGCATACACACATAAAAGTCTGATAGTGTTTTAAGTTTCAAATGATATGTAATCAGAAGGCTGCCTATCCCCTAGAAAAATTAAAACTGAATTACAGTAAGCTGAAAGCCACAACTGTAAAAATGTTGGAGACTGTCCAAAGCTGTAATTGTGGCCTAATTTTGCAGTGTGGTTCACAAGGTACTATAATTCGTTGTTTAAAACACACGAGAAAGTGCTCAAATCACTAGAAGTTAATAATTTTGACCCAGACTAAAATAGAAGACCCACAAGGCAAAGCAGAATCAAATTTACCGTTGCAGTAACAAAAAAAAAAAAAAAAACCTGTCGTAAAAACTAATGTTCATAAATAAAAAAAGTTGAAAGAGCATATTTCTCGTTTAAATTATTCCAATGAGTCATAATTATGCTTGGATAAAAAGACAGTGCATCATATGCAGCCACCAATAGGAAAAGTTATTTAGACAAGAATAGCTACACAAGAAGTACAAAATGCAGCAATTTATGCTAACAAAATAACATGGTAAAAATATGGGCAAAGCAAAATGCAAGGACTCACACAAGAAGTCACAGTGTATCTCCTAATAGTAAATGCTACTTTCTTTACCTTATTTCTCATAATTGAGTTTTCCATATACTGTTAATTAGCATTTTATTGTAAATGCTCTTTACATGCATATGACTTGTCTCTAATGAACTTGAAGTTTAACTTATAAAATGTTTCCTATTTGTATATTGTATACCTACAAAAATAAAAATCACCTTCAAGACTCTTTGCAGGAGAGGTTAATGCAGCTACAGTAAACAAGTCTAATTAACATTAGGTACCAAATCCCTATCAAATGGTCACCCAGCTGTATATAGTGAATAAAAATACATATTGGTACTGAAGGTGTCCGTCAGAGTAACACAATTTCTACACTACCACTTGCCATTAGTCCCTGCAAGACACCACTCCAGAGATACTGGTTAAGAGTACTGTAGAAGAAATGTTGACTAAAACATCAGTGGCAATAATTGGGATAGGTGAACTATTTAGAGTAACTAATGTGATTGTCAAAATCTAGTTATGTAGTATGCTGTTTATATTAGCACTGTAATGTTTTAATTATAAAAATTCTTTATCAAAATCAGAGTAGTTTGTTTTTTTAAATGTCCTTTTCTAGCCATTGCAGAGGTAGAGGACACTGGCTATATGGATCTTTTTCAGAAGGTTAAGTCGAGATGTTAATAAGTTCCAATTTCTTAAGAGAAACCTATAGTACAGAAAAAAAAATTTTTAAAAATTGTTATTGAGACTATAGGTTACCTTCTATTATTGAGACCACTGTCCATGCACCTATACTGGAAGAAACAAAAACAAAAAAGTACATTAAAAAAAAATACTCACTTCATGCATGCGTGTTCTAACGCTGTGCTCCTCACCCATTGAGATAAAGTGGTCTGGGTGACTTAAGTGGCATTTTAAGACAGACCTATAAAAATATAAAATAATGTCTACTACATAAACTTAAAATGACAATTTTCTATAAAAATAAGCCAGATTTTGATAAAGAATTTTATTATGCTTAAAACAAACCTGCCTTAGCCACTTCTCTATAAAATTACAGGCGATTTACCAAAGCAACCAGGAGTTGTGAAGTGTCCCAGGGATATTCTAAAATTATAAAATTTCAGCAGATAATCCGAGCTGATGGACACTGATGAATGAAGTTTGCAAGGAGGTAATTATGTCCTCACATCAAGGTTTGCAATAATTTTGTCTAATTAGACTGTCAAAATTGCAAAATGCCAATTTGGCATTTAATACAAAACACATCATTGTAGATGAATAACACAAAATTAAACCTCCAGAAATACAGGGGAAAGACAAAAAAGCAAAAAACATAAGCTATTAGAAAAGTCAGATCTGATTGAATCATGACATGATCTTCGTTGTTACACAGATCTTTATCCCAGACTAAAAACATCTTAATATCTAAATGCAATGCTTTAAAGCTATACCTGTTAAATGCTAGAATAACTTCAGATTGCTTTGCAGCAGATTATCCTTCCAGAAGAGATGTATTTGACAAAATGTTGTAATACCTTTAGTAAAAATTTGGGAAAAAATAAATCACAAGCAGGGTACAAATGGCTAATTAAAGCTAAGGATTTCAGGATTAACCATGTTTTAGAGAAGGAGACCAAAAAAATAAAAAAATAAAAACACCATGTTCGATTCTAGAAACCTGGTGTGTATGGTAATCTGACCCAAGTCAATGAGGCAAAACTGCAGATGGAGGAAACATGCGAACTCACAGATTACAGTAGCACCACCACTCAAAAAACACTGAATAAACAGACGCGGAACTGTAGCCGTATCTATATTTTAAAGTAAATTAAGTCATACAATTCACCACCCTCATTTTCTAAAAGGGGAAAAATGACTATGGGTCACTTTACCACCAGTGAAGTTCAGCCCACCCCCGGCTCCAACCAAGTGACTGAAATCCTCCAAGATGGCACCAATATACCAGTGGTCTAAGCATCTTCCCACCTTGGCCTAAAAAGGGGAGATGATTCCACAATTTAAAAAAAAAAAAAGAAGAAAAAAAAGTGAGAGGGGACTTTAAAAAAAAAAGAAAAAAAAATATATAATATATTTATAAGTACTTAAAATCCAAGAGGCATCTATAAAGTCCAGCTCTCATTGGGCTCTTATGTTTTTGTTTTTTTGTCAAACTAATGTGCAGACTTTGGGTAAGAAAATAAAAATAAAGGGTGACCCACAAAACCAAATATTCTTTTGAAGTTTGCATCTGTAATCTAAAGACGTTCTTAATACAGTATGCCTTAAAAGTTCATCATTAGCTTTGGAGAATGCAAAGTTCCAGCACAGAGTCCGAGGCGTGTTCCACTTGGCAGGGCGCTGATAAAAAGACGACACTACTTGCAAACTATGCATCACAGCAGCCAGTTATGTTGCGTTTTTGTGGGATTTTATCGTTTTTTGCTTTTTTTCCTTAGAGTTCAAGTAGCACACAATGTTTGACTGCTGAACTCATGCACACTGCTACCAAAATGGAATGTGGGAACACGCTATGCACATTGGGTTGAGAAATGACGGGGAAGATCAAGACCTAAAGGGTGATGATATATCAATGCTATTATTCATAAAAACATTGTTTTAGTAATAAAAAAAATTGCTTTGTTTAAATATGAATATTATAGTCTGCTTTTCATGGTTAGGAAATCAGTCTTTTTCGCTTCCAAAAAGCAGATTGTATCTACTACAACTCCATGTCTTGAGCTTCATCTTCAGAGAAGTCAGACATTGAGCTTTCAGATGAGCTATCCCCTGTGCGCTCCTCCTGTTCTTTCAGGGCCTCTTCTGTTGCATATTTCTGGATGTATTCTGAAAGTTGGAAGAAAGAGTTTGGAGTAAGCAATTGCAGGTCTTGATCAACCATCATCCTTAAAGAGACACTGAGCACCAAGAGAACTTTAGCTGAATGAAGAAGCATTGGTGTGTACCTCATGCCCCAGCGGTCTCAATCCTCTGCCCTTTACATATGAATACTGTTAATACTACAGACTGCATTTAAAAAAAAATAAAAAAAAAATTGTTTTTCAAGCAAGTCTTAGAGCATAGTGTTTGTCTCTCCTGCTCTGTTAATTGTACATTGAATCACACACAGGAGGCTCCTATGGGCCCTAAAAGTCTATGAATTGAGAAGATTAGAAAAATGCTAAATTAAACAGTGTGCTACAAGAAAATAAATAAAACTTTTTCAGAAGTGTGTGGGGAGACTGTTTATGCAGTCCTAGCCACACCTCCCATCTAATACTCCGTGATTTAACTCTTAAACTGCTGGGCATGAACTATATAAGAAAACGATTTCAGAATGCTGAAGTTGTTATTTTTGTACTCATTTCCAATTGTATAAAGTTACAGAACACCTTTGGGCTTTAAGGAGCCATTCCAGCCATCTCAGGACATAGACTAGATGTAATTTTTTTCATTTTTAGAAACGTCCCATACAATTTAGCTCTATTCATTGCTGAAATTTGTTTTTCATTAACTATACTCTAAATGTTGACATTCTATTTATGACTTCTCACCTTTAATTTTTTGTTTGTATTCTTCTGGTCGATGGAGATACATAGCTGCTGCATCTCCATTCAGTGGATCTATTGGGTTAGGGTAGGCCAGCAATTGGGGCAGAAAGGATTCAAATATATTTGTGAGATCTGAAGAAAAAAATAAAACATATATAAATTGATACACAATAAACACACCAACAATTAAGAAAATACAATAGTCGTTATTGAGCGAGTTATGATGTGCATCAATAAGATAAGCACCACCCCCAACTATTGGGTCTGCCTAACAAACCATGATAAAAGACAGTTCCACCATGTCCGGCTATTGAACACTATGCATACAATATTGACACCTCTAACGCACATGTTGCATTAAAGGAAAGAATGAAAGTTTAAAATGCTCTCATATGTCCATGTACATTAATGGATAATGGCAGTACATGCGCAATGAAAGTCAGTAGAGGCAAGTGTTTTACACTAGTGTTCTGTAATCTTGCTGAAATGTTAGATCAAGAGATGTAGTGAATAGGATATTGGATATCACAAGAACGGTGCTTTTTTTTCATAAGAACCTTAAGATGTATATAAACAGACAAGATGTGCAGAATACTTGCATGAGCTATGCAAAAAAATAAAAAAAAAAATAGTTTCTGGTCTGATCTGTGCACTGATGTCTGTGGAAGAGTGAGGTTAATAGCTTTTGGGTTCTTTTCCACTTCGTTTTCTGCATGATTTTGGTGGGTGAGAGGGATCCCCATTACAGTGTTTTAGCGTATCTTTATTTGATGCTATTAATATTTGATGCGCCTCTATCATTACCACACAGTCTTCTGTATACATTTCTAAATGTGAGAATACACTTACTCAAACAAACGAAGGAAAGTTAATGTGTTTAGGCTGTGCATTAGAATATGCTACAGGAATAAGTTTAAGGCATGAAAATAAAAGATGCTTGCTAAAATATTAAGACAAAAAGCATGCTGAATAAAGTGGCAACAACACGTATGATGTAGGCCTTGCTGCTATCTGATTGGGGAGTTCAGCCGATACCAGTCAGGCAGACTCCACCAGAGCAGACAGGTAAGAGAGTTCTAAAGTCCTGAGTAAGTCTCTTAGTTCAACATGTTTTAAGAATGCAGGACCATTGCTGCTAAAACTTGTAAAAAGTACTAAGGACAGTTAAAGGGACACTAGTCACCCAGACCACTTCAGCTCAATGAAGTGGTCTGGGTGTCAGGTGCCTCTAGGGTTAACCCTGCCTGATGTAAACATAGCAGTTTCTGAGAAACTGCTATGTTTACATCAGGGGTTAAGCCAGCCTCAAGTGGCTGTCTTCCGGACAGCCATTAGAGGTGCATCGGCAATGATTGAGGCATATTATGCCCCAATCACGCAGAGCGTCCATAGGAAAGCATTGAAAAATGTGCATTCGGCGCTGGTGACGTCAGACAAGGATGCTGACGTCGGCGGGGGGAAAGGGTGAGTAGCTGAATGGGTTTTAACACCTTCAGCGCCGCGGGAGGGGTACCCCAAGGGTGGGGACACCCTCAGGGTACTATAGTGTCCCTTTAAGATAAATTTCTGTAAAATGGAAGATAATACAATGGATTTAAATTGGCCAATGACTGGAGAAGAGCTCAATCCAGTTAAGGCCTACCAACAGCCCTGGTAACATTAACAAACATATCTTGGAAGGCTGGTATGAGAAGCAGTAAGCCAGAACAAGTTTCAAAGTCAGTGAACAAACATTGAGAAACATTGACATTGTGGAAGACTTATGAAGTGAATGATCATATATAGTCACTAAACCGCCTTTGTTTTTGCCAAGATTAGGTTGTTTTTGTTTTGATTTTTAAACCTATTCATCTGTGAGCTTTGGAGTTGCTGTTCAGTAAATGAGTGTGCTGGATCTTTAATGAATCGGCCCCAGCAGCAATAAAATTAAAGGGACACTATAGTCACCAGAACAACTACAGCTTAATGAATTTGTTCTGGTGAGTAGAATCATTACCTTCAGGCTTTTTGCTGTAAACACTGTCTATTCAGAGAAAATGGAGTGTTTACATTACAGCCTAGTGATAACTTCACTGGCCACTCCTCGGATGGCTGTTAGAGATCCTTCCTGGGTCATGGCTGCCTAAAATGCATCCAAACATTCAGTATCTCCTCCCTCTGCATGCAGACACTGAACTTTCCTCAGAGATTTATTGATTCAATTCATCTCATCTCTAGGAGGAGATGCTGATTGGCCAGGGCTATATTTGAATTGTGCTGGCTCTGCCCCAATCTGCCTCCTTGTCAGTCTCAGCCAATCCTATGGGGAAGCACTGTGATTGGATCAGGCTACCACTTCTGATGAAGTCAGCAGACAGCTTGTTTTTCTGAAGCAAACAGCATGCAGATTTACAGCTTCAGGCTTGAATACAGTAAGATTTTGCTATATTTATGGAGACATGAGGGGCCCAGATGGCGGTTTTAACACTAGAGAGTCAGGAATGTAGTTTGTGTTCCTGACCCTATAGTGATCCTTTAAACACACATACACTTTAACAATCGTAAAACCTATCTATAATTGACCTTAAACGTCAATTAATCTTTCACATAAACTATCAATGGAGCAGATGCACTGAAAATTAAAATACAAAATTCAACCTAGTCAGGGCTTAAAATTGTAAGCCCAACACTATAAACCAGACCTTAAATTTACTGGCCACTACAAATTCTGAAATGTGCATTTACATCTAAGTGCACTGCTGATTATCATTGTAAACTCCTTGGCACCTTGCAGTCAGCTTAGAGAAAGTATACAGGTATTAGGAGAAATTAACCCCTTAAGGACAGCAGATGTAACTAGGTACATTCGGCAAAAAATCTTAAGGACTGCAGATGTACCTAGTAAGTCCGCGGCAAATATGAACCCAACACCTGTACATGGTTGGTATCACTGTATTTAGGAGATGTTGCTGAACAAATATTGGGATGTTCTTTGGCAGTAACACATAACAGGAACTAATACTCCATGCCCAAAGTACAATGCGTGTGAAAAATAAAGAAAATAACTACCCAAACGTTTGACAAAGACTGGTTGTAGAATTAGTGCATTGAAAGTATTAAAATACCACCATTTGAAATACCCTAGGATGTCTACTTTCCAAAAATATATGGTTTGATGGGGGTAAATTTACATTGGTTGGCTTCAAAAATGTCTCAAATAGGACATGGGTGCATGATGACCAGGTGTGAAAATTCCAAGAAAACTGGAAAGCGCACCCTCCAAATAAGGTCTTAACCCCCAGAGAACCAGGAGATGTTGCTGAACACATTGTGGTGCTCTTTGGCAGTAACCCTTAAAGTTCTCAGTACATGTATTCTTAAATTGCTATGTGTCCAAAAAAAAAACAAACAAAAAAAAAAAACCTTTGTTTTTACTTTGGCATAGATTGGTGGTAAAATTGGTGCATGAAAAGAGTCAAAATAATCCAAGTTTAATACCTTAGGCTGTCTTTTAAAAAATGTTTACATGTGAAGGGTTATTAAGGGATTCCTGACAGATATCAGTGTTACAATGTTAATTTCGTTAGTTTAGAAAAACAATGGTTTGTTAATAGCAAAGTGCTATTTGTACTTATTGCCCTATATCTTGCAAAAATAAGCTAACATGTTAACATTGGGTATTTCTAAACTCAGGACAAAATTTAGAAACTATTTATCATGGGTGTTTTTTGGCAGTTGTAGATGGCGGATGTCAATGCGATTTTGGGGGTCAAAGTTAGAAAAGGTGTGTTTTTTTACATTTGTTTCATGTTTTTACTGTAAATTATAGGATATGATAAACATAATGGTATCTTTAGAAAGACCATTTAATGGTGAGAAAACTTTTCAATATGTATGGGTACAGTAAATGGGTAAGAGGAAAACTACAGCTAAACACAAACACCAGAGAAATTTAAAAACAGCCCTGGTCCTTAACGGTAAGAAAATTGAAAAATGGTGTGGTCACTATAGGGTTAAACAATGCTTCTTTTTAAACTCTTCACGTGCAATGTTTGCCCTGTCTAAACTGAATTATGAATTATTAAAGAAGAATGGGCACTCACCATAAAGAGCTGTCCAGGTTTGGTTGATGACATCTAGACACACTGTACCTGACCTGAAAAAAAAGCCAAACAGGAAAGATTACATGACTTGTAGAAAGTACAGCAAAACTCCTTCAGAGAACCATAGTATATTGGGGGGAAAGATCTTGTATTTAAAAGGAACACTATATGAGCAGGGACACAAGCATGTATTCCTGACCCTGTAGTGTTAAAAACACCTCCTCGCCAACCTAAATATAGAAAAAGCTTACCGTTATTCCAGTCTGCTGCTGCTGGCTCTGCCCCTGATTTGCCTCCTTGGATGACATCATTAGAAGTGTTGGTATCATACAGACCCAATGCTTTTCCAAAGGAAAGCTTTTGATTTGCGAAGACTGTCAAGGAGGCAGACCTGGGGCAGAGCCAGCACAAGACAAACACAGCACTGGCCAGTGAGCAACTCCTCATAAAGGTACATTAAAAGGGACACGAGGCACCCAAACCACTTCAGCTAATTGAAGTAGTCTGGGTGCTATGACCTGTTTGCACTTCATGTAAACAGAAAAAAAAAAAAAATACATTTATAAAAATTGCACTTAATGTAAAAACATTGCAGTTTCAAGTCTGCCCTCTGTGGCTGTAACAGCCACTAGAAGGCTTCCGGAATCCAAACAGACTTTTGGACAGTTATCGGACACTGGCACCCTCACGGACCTCCAGTGTCAGATTTTCCTAATAGGAAAGCATTGAATAATGCTTTCCTATGGGGGAGGTCTAATGTGCGCGCGGCCATTGCTGCGCATGCACATTAGGTCTCGCCCCGCCGGCTGACATGGGTAAGTGACTGAGGGAGTTTTAACCCCTTCAGCGCCGCGGGAGGGGGGCACTCCAAGAGCCTATAGTGCCAGGAAAACTGGTTTTCCTGGCACTATCGGTCACTTTAAAATCAATGCATCTCTATGAGGAATATTCAGTGTCTCCATGCAGAGGGTGGAGACACTCAATGGCAGTGCTGCACACTGTGCAGCACAAAACAGAGGAAGCAGTTCTAGTAGCCATCTGAAAAGAGGACACTGGAGGTATCCCTAAGCTGTAATGTAAACACTGCCTTTTCACTAAAAAGACTGTTTATTGCAAGATGCCTGCAGGAACTGACTATACTCACCAGAACTACAGTATGCTGTAGTTCTGGTGACTATAGTGTCCATTTAACACACAATTGCAAACTAATCTTGAGATAAACAGAACCTGAAGTATAAGGTTTATAGAGTTTTTAATGTTTTAATCACTTTAAAAGCAAACACACCACAAACCATAACCAGGTGAAGTATGATTAGTTTTAGGGCTGCCTAGACCACAAGATGTTTAAAATAGGAGTGCTTCATACAATAAAGTATTTAATTTTGCATTATATACCAATAAACCTGCCAATGTAAGATGAAAGGCCAGCTTTTTGAAATTTAACCAACCGAGTCTAAAAAACGAAAACACAAAACCAACAAACATTTGCTCCAATGTAACTCTGGACTGGTGCACTGTGCAGAAGAAAAGTAGTGAAGCTGTTGACATTGAGTTAAATTGTTACCCAGCACAGAAAGCAGCAGGATGGAGAATTTTGCCAGTGAAGGTGCTCAGAACATATTTCTGTGGAATTGCCATATGGAGCAGAGTTGGAACAAACACCGAACATCTCCAAGACAGACAGTCTGCCAAGGCAGGGTTAAATCAGAGTAACTTCAGATAACATACCCTGGAGCACTCTGACCTATTTCACCCCTCCTCAGACACCAAAGAGGTGGAAAGCAATGAATACATACCAATTCTAACATTTGTTACTTACGCTTCATCAATATTTGGATGAAATATTTTGTTCATGAACCCTGAAAACAGAGGAGAAGAGAGTCCATTAAAGCAGCAATAATGCTTGTAATTTTAAACTGTTGTAGTAGAATCCTAAATCCAGTCTGCCTTGCTCTCTTTTCTGTACATCAAAAAGCAAAGCTGCCACATGCTGGTCAGTCAGTAGTTAAAGCGGCTCTGTCATTGTCTGGGGTCTCTCCATAATTTGCAAAGACCCATGACAGAGACATCACTGCTGGATATCGGGGTGCAAGGGAAAGTGAGTTATACTTACCTGAACATGTCCCTTGCAGCCGCCATAATCTTCTATCTGGTCCTATTCAGCGGTCAGGGGCCGAAGATAGCGCTGTACATTTTATGAATGCAGTACAACAGAGATCTCACAAGATCCTCCATAAAAGCCTTTTACCCCTTAGTCGTCACTAGTGATGACGGAGGGCTTGAGAAAATTTAATAAGGCTTTGCCTTTTTGTTAATTAGAGGGAAACTATTACGACGGCAATCCCTAGTTTATCTTGTTATATCTTAGTGGGTTGATATTTCAGTGAAAGACCAACATACTCACCTTGACTATTTCATAAAGATTCTTTGTTAAATACTCATTTTGGAAGGGTGGAAGAGTCGCTTTGATGCACTGCATGCAGTGACAGCAATGCAATGTTACTGCCTGTTTAAAGTGGCAGTCAGTTTTACTAGAGACATTGCCTACAGGGCCAGATTTCAGCACTTCAAATGTGTCTTTTTGAGCTTAAATAGGCTAGTGAGGAGATAAATATCAGAAGCTTTGGCCAGTGTCCTCTGTAGTCCAGTTAGCTTTACTAACAGACCAGCAGGAATAGTTTTAGAGGGTGTGAAATCCAGTTCTGTTCCAGGTCCTCCACTGTGTGTGAAGCTGGACATGAAGTGAAAGATCACTTCCCATCTGCCGAATAGTAACCTCCCACACAGGAAATGCATTGCAAGAGGAGCAGGGGACGCACACTGTCTAACCACTCCTGCAGCTCTAATAACAATCATTGGAGACTGGCTGGTCTACAAAATCATAGGGAGGGAAGTACTTTGCAAACAACCCTTCAAACTCCAGCACTCAATGCCTCAACCTGAAAATAAACCCTTTACATTAATCCTATGTTTAACTACTCTTAAAAACTAAACACCTAATGTACATCCCAATACTAAACTTAATCCAACTTCAGTCCTAAACAGACTAAACTATAATTTCAACTCCATCTCAAATGGTAAACATCCTGTGTAATCTAACCTTAAAATCCCCTTTACCCTAACAACTTATAAAATAATTTTTAACCCCGCATTCATTTGCATAAATGCACTAAACTTGCAGGTTCAAGCAGGGCAGAATTATGCAACTACATTTATACATACATAGTAGTCAAATGTGACTTTTTATCCACGTTTTGTGGCCTTCAATGTTCACTTAATAAATTAATCTGCCTTGAGGTTGGGACATAAGGGGTCCCTTAAAATGTGCCAACAGGCACCAGATCTGGAAATCCAGCCGTGGTTACCCATCTAACTTTTCTTCATTTATTCATTCAACCAATACAGAAGTATTGTGGGGATAGGCAAACTATGTAGAATCTCTTGTCTTGGGACACAGAAAATCTGTTGTTTTGAAACCAGGACTGGAGCAAAGTCCATAAGTGTTGCTTTAGGCATACATTCTGTTTTCTAAACAAAAATATTTAACACTAACATACAACTTGTATTAATGCAAGTCTCGTAACCAATTTGTTTTTAGAAACAAATATTGTGAGAACACACAGTCAAGGTTTCTTTAATCTTCCCCAAAAACTTAGAATTACAAGTGCAAATTAAATCTCTGGAAGCAAAAAAGTACCAACCAACCTATAGAAGGAGATTTGAAAGGATATTTATCAGGAAGGTCCACACGAACTTTCCACACGCCACCTTCATATGGTGCTGCAATAGAGAAGAGGCAAACCATGTCAATAATACATTAACACAGACTGGTAAACAATGGTTAAATTGGAGGAAGCAGAACATTTTAACATTCATTCAAACAGACCTGGAGTAAATTTCAGATAATCTTAAAGGGAGAGTAAGCAACAAAGTCACTGTCTTAATGAAGTGATTTTGGGGGAATAGATCCTGCGTCTGCAGCCTTGACTTTAAAAACCATGCTAGGAGCTTTGAGCCAAGCCCGGTGGTGGCAAGAGTTAAAGGGAAATAATAGCACCAAGACCATCTCAATGAAGTTGTCTGGCTGCCAAGTCCCTGTAGTTTAGAACCTGCAGCTGCAAAAATTGCCCTTCTGAAGAAATGTCCAGGTTTACTTTGCAGGGCCGGGTCACCTAAATGGCTAGAGCGTTAAGAATACATATTTGTATTCCCAAATCTATATTATTCCTTTAAGTAGGGATTTCTGGCTCTCTGAAGGCTGCAGGGGAGGGGTACCAGGTAAACCCCAGGTAATGGTTTGATTACAGATAGTGTGGCAGGAAACTACTGGCACAATAACCACTATAGCTCATTAAAATGAAAAAATAACCATCCCAAATAACTTCCATACAAATAGAGGTGATATAACTTCCCTTTTGTTCTAAAATAATTTAGGATGGCTTATGAAACAATCTCCCTGTTCAAGGGTATGCAGATAATCTAAGGTCAACCCTCTTCCTCCACCCCACTCTAATTACTTAGGGCCCCCACCTGCCAGCTGACCAGAGGAGTGGCTGCTAGGTTCCACTTGTTTGATAGTTATTAGAGCTCCCACCCGCCGGCATGGGTGGGGGAATCAAAGAAAGGGAAACTAGTCTTCCCTTTAATTTTTATAGCACACAACACTACATTCTCACAGGTGGGGACTATGCCCTCCTATTTCTTAAACACCATCCTTATGGGAGGTGACTTTCTAGCAACTGGGCTGCAAAGGCTGCATAGTCGGTAGATTTAATGTTTACTAGACATGCCCCCACCTGCCAGATGGTAGCATATGGAGGTCTTACTCACCTTCAAAGGATATTTATTTACTTTATGTATTTCTTTTTCCATGTGGCATCTGGTTAACAAGCACTGGCAAATAGCAAGTGAATTCAGTCATTTGCAATACCAGTGCTGTAAATTGGGTTTGATGAGTTTGGAAAATCAGATTTTCGTATCTAAACCGACCAAATTCTGACTGCATCTGGCTTTAGTAAATATGAGAATTGCCAATGCTGTAAATATGGACCAGGCAGACCATACAGGGCAATGGCTAATTAGGTCACCGCTAAGTGTAGGGAAAGAAGCAGGAGCCTTCCAGTTCGATTCTCTCTCACCATACCAACCTGCTGGCCACCGGACACAGTGGCGATGTCACCGTCCACAAAGTGACAGCCACTTTAAACAGAGTTAAAGGGACACTATAGTCACCAAAATAGCTTTAGCTTAATGAAACAGTTTTGGTGTATAGATCAAGCCCCTGAAATCTCACTGCGCAATTTTCTGCCATTTAAGAGTTACATCAATTTGTTTCTGAACCCTAGTCACACTTCCCTGCATGTGACTTACACAGCCTCCTTAAACACTTCCTGTAAAGAGTCATCTACTGTTTATCCTTTTATTGCAAGTTCTGTTTTAGATTTTCTTGTCCCCTGCTATATTAATAGCTTGCTAGACCCTGCAAGAGCAACTTGTATGTGATTAAAGTTCAATTTACAGAGCAAGAGATAAAATTGTGTAAGAAATTACATCTGATTGAACGTGAAACCAGCTTTTTTTCATGCAGGCTGTGTCAATCAGAGCCAGGGGAGGTGTGGCAATGGCTGCATAAACAGAAACAAAGTGATTTAACTCCTAAATAGCAGTGATTTGAGCAGTGAAACCAGAGGCATGATCTATACACTAAAATGGCTTCAATTAAGCTAAAGTTGTTTAGGTGCCTACAGTGTACCTTTAAACCTGTGTTTATCACCTTATACTACAGACGGTTATATCATGAAACATTACAAAAGCATGAAACATTACACCCTGTTAAATACCAACAAAACTGCCTGCCAGTCTGTAATGCAGGAATTAAAGACCAGGAGAACAGTAGCAACTGCAAACAATTTAGTTTTTCCTTTAAATCCGGATACAAAAAAAATGTCATAGCCTATATCTATATCCATCAATCTAAAGATTGAGAGGGAGGAATTGGTAACATTTTAGGAAATGGAAAGATTTCAAGGCTGAATTAGGAACCGTGCCTTATTGACATTATACTCCATTTCCCCATGACAGGAAACTAAGAGTTTCATAGAAATACACACACTATTAAAGGGGCGTTTCATTGGACCAAGAAATTGATTTGGGACGGATTCACATCAAAACCCGAGATTACCCTGTCTTATTAGAGTATAAATGACAAGGAAAGGGGCACTATAGGAACCCAGACCATTTCATTGATGTGGTCTGTGTGTACTGCCTCTGTCCCCTTAACCCTGAAATCTAAAACATACAGCTTTCGATTCCCAACACTTAAGTGTTCCTTTAGGCAAAATAGTTCGGCAGCTTAAGTGTATGACTCAAATAGTCAGAAGGTTTTTCTTGTCTTGAGGAAGGAATACTTCTTTACCTTTTCAAAAAACAAAGGCAAATTATCTTTTGTCATACTTTCTTGTCAATCCACAATTAAGACATGCATTGCAAAATAATAAACAGTTGTGAGGCAAGGCAATTAAAGCATGGTATTCAAAACAATACTGCTATTTTAGGATTGATAATTTTTGGTTATAATAGAAGTATGTGTCACAAGTTCAGACTTTAACTAAGCCCTCAGTACCCCCTAGGAGATCTGCAGCTAGCACTAAAGTGACAGGTGGGTAGGTAGGCCATATGCCTCCATGGTCACTGGTTGCTACTCATGTCAGGGAGCAGTGGGTATCACCCATGTTGCAAGTTGTGGGAAAGTGGCTTAAAGCCATGATCCGTGTATGTGAGGTGGGGGTAAGAGGGGGTAAGTAGGTAGATAGGTGTATAGTGGCACTGAAACCCCTTTGTCAGCAGAAGGTGAATGCGTGTGCAGCGGAGCGCTTATTCTCTGCTTAAGCGAATATAACAGCATTAAGCTAACATTGCTAACTCTCTGTGCCTAAATAAGACAAACTGGGCAGTCACATTAAGTCATTCAAGCAATCCAATGGGTCGCGGTGCTGCTCCGTTGGGAGGCAGAAACAAATGAGCGCACCGCCGCCAGATTTCAGGTGGTCTTCTGCGCGAGTGATACTGGAAGCGACTCTCTTGTATCAACGGACAGCAGCCAGAGTTGCTGGTCACTTCTGAAGCCTCTACGACTTTTAGAGTCCCAGATTCCCTTGGTATTACTAAGCCCGTGGTGCACCCCATTTATAGGGTACCTTCTGTTTTTGTAACTCTGGTCAGCACTCGCAGGGACCTGCGCCAGTCCATGGTGACCCTGGAGATGTCAGGATAAAACTAAGTAATGTTCTTTAAAGTGATAGGCGTTGCGCACCGCGGACAGGAAGGCTTGCCTGTCCGGGCCGTTCTGAAAGTGGATGATCACATCTCTACTGGACCATGATGTAGCTTGTAGCGGTGTTATCCAGTAGCAGCCATCTAAGGTCATAGCCTTACCTTGTTTAGGGGAGAATAGGCCAGCAAGTAATCTCCTTATTAGGTGTGGAATCTCAGTCAAGGTAGGCTTTCAGCGTTGCTTCTGTGACCGGAGGGTTTCCACTCTGCACGGGAGGCTGCTCTGCTCTCTTCATGGCTTGTTGCTCAGAGCCCCTTCGGTCGGTCAGGGAGTACTCGCTGGTTGAGCGGGAGGGCCTGTCCGAGAGCGGTGCCATGTCTGGCCTCATGTGATCGCGCGGCCTCCACAGCATTTTGATGAAATCCGCGCTAAACGTGGTGTTTTCCAGCTGCTGTTTTTTGCTTTTGCGCCCCATATCATAGGTGGAGTAGGATGCGCGAAAGGGAGTCTGTTGCGGTAAGTAAGCGGGTTATCTTGCCGTTTTTAGCTTCAATTCTCTCGGAGCACAACTGAAACACGTCCACTCAGTATGACTGCTAGCTCCGCCCCCCACATGCAAATTATCTTTTTGACCTTTGCAAATTTGGTGACAGTGTCACTTTAAGGCCCTCCTGAGACTGGGCTCAAAAAGATAGTTTGCTTTTCTTTTTCTAAAAGGTAAAGAAATATGCCTTCTTCAAGACAAGAACACCCCCCCCAAAAAAAAAAAAAAACCCTTCCGACTATTGGATCATGGCTCCCCTGTTAGTTAATATAGTTGATCTACATATCCCTGTAACTAATGTGGAATTAACACATTCTGGACCACAGGTTCACATTAGATCACAATTGTGGTTACAATCTGGTGTAGGTGGAACATTTTATTAACCAACCTACAGAGTTCTTCTTTGCTTCAAACAGCTGATTAGTTGCTTAACTTTTGCAATATGCATTATAAGGGGTGCAGTGGATTGATGTGTTCCTCAAATAGCATACAGTTTCATAGCAGCCACATTTAAGTGTATTATTTAAGTTATAGGAGCTTCAGAAGCACAGCAAGCCAACGAGAGTTATGACAAACTAAAGCTGACTCTTTACACTTTGTATGCACTGTGGGGATAATTGATTATACATAAAAATATGCACAGAATACATTAAAATGTAAGATACCCTTAGGATCTGCACTTAGTGTAGTCATATCTTCATGTTGTAGGGACTACATCACATCATGATCTACTGTGGAGGCAGAGAGAGGGGCAGTGCAAGAACAACAAAAACAAATTCACTTGTGCAGGGAATCATTCGACATTTGTTCTGAATGACAAAGTGTTCTAGAATAAAACAATTGCTTACAACTCACAATGAAAATAAATAAAATGCAATAAAAAAAAATTACTTACTTCCTTGTGGTCCATAAAATTTCACTATAAATTCATTGAGTCCTCCTAGAATTGTAACTTCATGCTTGCTTTCAATTCTGGAGCCATAGGTTGAGGAATACAAATAAGGAGGGAGGGGAATTTCCACAGTCCCATGCCCTTTTCTGTTATATTTTGCCATTTGATGTCGCCCAGATGAAATAAGGTTATTAGAAAAGTGGGGTGTTACTGTACATCAGAATACCCCAGATGCACCAGTAGAATGTGTCCCGTCTACATTCAATTTTGCATTACATTTTAACCATTGTACACCAATCTATTTTCACTGCAAATGGCAAGACATGCCCAGTTTGTTACTAGGGACCAACTGCCAGGACTGAGCATAACTGCCAACCTAGACTTTAGATTAATTTTCACTACAGAGCAGACATGTAATTGTTTCTCAAAGAAGGAGAATACAGTTCTTCAACAAGAGGTCTGATCTTTAAAATTCTAACCGGGTCGCTTACATTGAGGACACAAACCAATGACATCGTGCAATATTAGAAGCATACGCCAATCCAATAGTTCCTTTACAACACGTTAATTTAAAAACGTTTTGGCACTCGAGTCGTGAGATAATTTTATACAGTTACATACGTCTGTAATGGTATTAATATGGTTTTGGTCATAAAATAAAGCAGAATCCTTAAAGGACCACTATAGTGCCAGGAAAACACTTTACTGGCACTATAGTGCCCTGAGGGTGCCCCCACCCTCAGGGTCCCACTCCCGTGGCACTGAGGGGGGAGGAAGGGGTTAATCCCTTACCATTTTTCCAGCGCCGGGCTCCCTCAGTGCTGGGACTCTCCTCCCTCTTCTTCCGTCACCGGCTGAATGCGCATGCGCGGCAAGAGCCGCACGCGCATTCAGCCAGTCCATAGGAAAGCATTCGCAACGCTTTCCTATGGACGCTTGCGTCTTCTCACTGAAAATCACAGTGAGAAGCGTGGAAGCGCCTCTAGCGGCTGTCAATGAGACAGCCACTAGAGGCTGGATTAACCCATTTGTAAACATAGTTTCTCTGAAACTGCTATGTTTACAGCAGAAAGGGTTAAGCCTAGCTGGACCTGGCACCCAGACCACTTCATTAAAGGACCACTATAGTGCCAGGAAAACACTAATTTTCCTGGCACTATAGTGCCCTGAGGGTGCCCCCACCCTCAGGGTCTCCCTCCTGCCGGGCTCTAGGGGGTGGAAGGGGTTAAACTTACCTCTTTCTCCAGCGCCGAACGGGGAGCTCTCCTCCTCCCTCTTCTTCCGTCACCGGCTGAATGCGTGGCAAGAGCCGCGCGCACACACATTCAGCCAGTCCATAGGAAAGCATTGTCAATGTAATATTTTTACATAATTAAGTAATTTTATTGATTGCAATTTGAGGGACCTGCTTGCCAACCCAGGCCGAAGGTCCAGAGAATTTAATTTGCTAGCACTATATTTTACCCTGTAACTTTCTATGACACCCTAAAATCTGTACAGGGGGGGGGTACTGTTTTACTCGGGAGACTTCGATGAACACAAATATTAGTGATTCAAAACAGTAAAACATATCACAGCGATGATAGGGCCAGTGAAAGTGACTTTTTTGCATTTTTCACACACAAACAGCACTTTTACGGATGATATAATTGTTGTGATACGTTTTCCTGTTTTGAAACACTAATATTTGTGTTCAGCAAAGTTTCCCCGAGTATAACAGTACCCCCATGTACAGGTTTTATAGCGTTTTTGAAAGTTACAGGCTCACATATAAGAGTCAAATATTTTTACATTGAAAATGACCAGGTTGGTTACGTTGCCTTTGAGAGCGTATGGTAGCCCAGGAATGAGAATTACCCCCATGGTGGCATATCATTTGCAAAAGAAGACAACCCAAAGTATTGCAAATGGGGTATGTCCAGTCTTTTTTTAGTAGCCACTTAGTCACAAACACTGGCCAAAATTCGGGTTCAATTTAGTTTACTTTTTTCACACACAAATATGAATGCTAACTTTGGCCAGTGTTTTTCGACTAAGTGGCTACTAAAAAAAGACTGGACATACCCCATATTGAATACCCTGGGTTGTCTACTTTAAAAAAATACGTACATGTGGGGTTTTATTCAGAGATTTATGACAGCATAGTAGTGTTACAATGTCACTTGATAAATTTAAAAAAAATGTATGTTTTGAAACCGCAATATCCTACTTGTACCTATAGCCCTATAACTTGCAAAAAAAAGCAAGAGCATGTCAACACTGGGTATTTTTAAACTCAGGACAAAATTTTTAATCTATTTAGCAGTTTTTTTTCCATTCGCTTTTGTAGATGAGTAAAAGATTTTTCAAGTAAAAGTCAAAAAACATGTATTTTCAATTATTCATCATATTTTTTTAAAAATTAAATTACATGAGATTATATAAATAATGGTATGTAAAGAAAGCCCTTTTTGTCCTGAAAAAAACCCAATATATAATTTGTATGGGAACAGTAAAAGAGAGCGGAAAATTACAGCTAAACACAACCACCACAATAGTGTAAAAAGATGCCTGTTCGCAAATGTACAACATCGCAAAAACAGCCAGGTCCTTAAGGGGTTAATATAAATTAATCAAAAGCGTAATATGCATCTTTAAGTCACGGCCACAACAATGTCAAAAGTGTGTTCCCTGGCAGTCTGAACAAATTCACATACTGCAAGGACCCTAAATTAAAAAATTTTTTTTTTACAAAAATTCTATAAAAATACTACTTTTAGTTTTGTTTTTTTAGAGTGGTCCAGTCATAGAACTTGAATATTGTTCTGCATTTGGTGTAGTATTTCTATTTATTATACTATACATCCTTTAAGTGTTGGGCGTCTACACTTACACTACACCTGTGTGTAAATTTGGTAGCGCCTACACACCTTTGCACTTTTTTTTTTTTTTAAAGAATATATATATATATATACATATATACATACACACACACACACACACACATATATACACACTTAATATCACATCATATAATTCTCATAACAGAAGCCATTCTTAACCCCCTGAGAATGGCATGACAGTCCATGAGGTCATACATTGTAACAGATGGCATAGTGTGTCATGCATTAAAAGTACCAGCAGGGTTAAAAACCTGCTGGTACCAAGAAACTCCAGGTATCAGTGGCCCCACACTGGCAAACAAGCTATGTGCAGTGTTCTAAGTATGCTCTGCATACGGCATCCGAGTGATCATGCTCATGTCACGGTATTCGAGTCTGCCCCAGCCTTCCTCATGCTAAAAACAGGGAGCCAAAGGATTTTTACGATATCTGAGTGCCCTGTCAACGGTGTTTACAATTAGTGACCAGGCTGAGAGATGAGCTTGGGCAGTACGCTATGTGAGTGCTGCACATGGCAATTTAAAAATCTGTGATTTTAAATGTGTCCCCGTTATCAGGGAGAACCCCAGTGTCTGAAAAGACCCATGTGAGGTCATCCTGCTTAGTGATCGTTGCTGGGCTATGCCAACTGCCCAGCACCGATCACAGTTCCTGGAGCTACTGCATGGAGGGAGACCTTCCTCTGATGCTGCAATCACACAGTACAGAGAGTTAGCAGAGCCAGAAAGTCTAAAAATCTACTGAAATTCTAGATATTGTCATTTTAAAATCAGGACTAGTGGACCTATTTTAAGTTTGTTAAATGAACAAAAAGGGAAATCTAAGAAAATACCTGTTTGCATGTATTCATTATGGGTATATCTTTAGAGCTTGCACAGGCTGCAGATACTATGTACTATCTCAAGCGAGCCTTGGTCTTAAAAGGTTAAGATTATGTAGATTAATAGGAATTAATAGATTGTTAAATTGAACCAAATTATCCATCACAAAACAATTTTTAATATGATGCAAAAACAGCTGTTCAGCAACCAACTCAGATCCACTAACCGTAGTTTAGTCAGCCATTACAGAAAAGTCATATTTGGAGCACAAGGCTTAAATTTCACAGAGGGATCTTGGCTAGAAACTATCTGGCATAAGGCAGAAACCCGCGCTTCACATTCTAAATAAGCGTATCAGAAAACGTGCATCAACACACTGAAAGAAGCCAGGCACATAATGTGCTAAAGCAGACATAGGACTCTTCCCAAAAAACAAGATTAGTTCCTGGAATCCGTTCTGCTGTCACTACACAACAGCTTTTATTTTCTGCTGTAGGGGCACAGAACATCAGCTAAAAATAAAACATCAACAAGATGGAACTTTAACCCTTTCTGTTTGAGGGAGTATGTACACAAATACAGGCACAACTGTACATAAAGGCGAATACACTAACCTGGAAATTATACTTTTGAATAAATTGTATTTAAAGGTACTTCACACAAAATAAAAATATGCATTCATTTGCACAAGTCCATAAAAGCCAACCTATTCTGCATGTTTTGCATCTAAATTGCTCCACCCCTTTGTTTTTCAGCACTAACTTCCTTGTTCATGCTGGGCAGTGCATGGAAAACAATCAAATGTTTTTCAAAAAGCAGCACTGCTCACACAATAAGCAAAAGTAAAAAATGTCTCCAATCTTGGTTTCCTCTTATGATGCTTTGTGTGAGGACTTTTAATGGTGGCAATTGTCCAAGTTCTGAACCAAAACAAAACCTAGAATTTAAGCTATATGTTTGATTAACCATAATTTACCCCTTTCATATTAAGTGCCTCCACACTTCTATATTATTTTGTTAAGGAGAAACAGGCCTTTTCACCTCAAATATTTAGACATAAAACAATTTAAAAATGAATTGAAAAAAAACAAAAAAACAAAAAATTAAGAGATTTTATTTTTTAAGTTCATTTTAACTGTGTATGGCATAATACCGTTATATTTTACTGCAATAGAATACACATTTCTAGGCTGTGACGTCCCATGAGTGCAACAATGCCTCCGTGTACAGGTTTTATTGAGTTTGGGAAAGTTACAGGGTCAAATATAGGGCTTTCCCATTTCCAGTCTATACACGTGGAAATTTGCCAAATTATTTCCTGGGTCTCTTTTGCTTTTGAGACCATATGGCAGCCCAGGAATGAGAATTACCCACAACTGTGGCCTATCTAAATCATCAAGGTGGAATCAGATCCCCAAGACATATCCAGACATTACGGACTGGGCTGAAGTGCAAAGACAGCAAACATGCAGTTCACATAAAGGCTCAGAAAACACTCAAGGAAGGGCAGAGGTCAATTAAAACAAACAGATTGGTCCAAAGAAATCTTCAAGGGGGTGGCCCAAAGACTATTCAGACAGATCTGGCCAACAACAAAGTTAAGATCTTTGCATCAATGAAGAAAATAGATTTCAGGGACCCTCAGGGACCCCCTCCCGCCCGGCTCTGGAAAGGGGAAAAGGGGTTAAACTTAACTTTTTCCAGCGCTGGGCGGGGAGCTCTCCTCCTCCGATCCTCCTCCTGGGCTGAATGCGCATGCACGGCAAAAGCTGCGCGCATTCAGCCGGTCACATAGGAAAGCATTCATAATGCTTTCCTATGGACGCTTGCGTGCTCTCACTGTGAAAATCACAGTGAGAAGCACGCAATCGCCTCTAGTGGCTGTCAATGAGAGCCACTAGAGGATTAGGGGGAAGGCTTAACCCATTCATAAACATAGCAGTTTCTCTGAAACTGCTATGTTTATGAAAAAATGGGTTAACCCTAGCTGGACCAGGCACCCAGACCACTTCATTAAGTGGAAGTGGTCTGGGTGCCTAGAGTGGTCCTTTAAGCTAAGCTTGTTTATGTATAACAAAAAATGTGCAACTACTCATGCCACTGTATAACCTGTATATCTCTATGTACACTGTTGTGGTGTTTAATGATGATCTGTACCTACCTGCAAAAGAATTATTATTTTTTTTTTTTTTTAAATGCAAATTATTACATGCACCTCAACACTGCTTTTAATGTGTTCTTCCCCACAAGTCTTTATGGCTCTACTAAATAGCATAACATCTTGTGACATATGCCATTAAAGTATAAAATGTGTTTTCATATTGGTCAGCAGGCCAATTCAAGAGAACATTGAGGCCCCATTCAAAGATAGATTATAATATATATGCCTGCAATATGTTAGGTTGTGGATAATGTGATCCTGGAGAGCTTACATTCTTTCAGACAAGCCGTTACAGTTTCAATATCAATACACTAACTCAATCCATGATAAAAGCCTTCTTTGCCCTGCTCAGGGCAGGCTTATTTCCCATCACAGCAGTCAGACGAAATTACACTTATGTACGGGTTAGGGTTATTAAAAATTATCCCATGCGGATCGGTCACAAGTCAGTGAGTGGAGATCTCTTTTTGCAGGAATTAATTTCCCTAAAAGAATAAAGTATGGTGCACTGGTGGCAAACCTATACATTTGAGCATGTGTGCCCAAGAGGGCACACCAAAGTTTATGCTTATTAGAGAAAGGATGTAGAAACCTAAAAGAAAAGCTATACACATAGTGTTACAGTGAATAAAAGAAATATTGCTGCAAAGTTGTATTTAAAAAAAAAAAAAAAAAGGAGGAGCAGCAGCCCTTTCCCAGCCAAGCTGAGCAGCAGCTCTGAGCGACTAGTCTTCAGGCAGGTAAAACTTCCTTCAGTTTGAGCAAGCATTGTGACTGCCTTGGAGTTGGGAACAAGACCAAAGTGAAAGAGTTGACACGTGAATGTGGAGTGGAGGGATGGAGCTTTCATGCCGGCCAAGTAAAGGATCTAAGTGGAAGCTAGCACAAAAAAAATTCTACTTACCATAAATTATTTTTTCCTTAATATAGTGGCAGGACCAGTGGGTGTGCATCCTCTTTATGGGCAAGCTGACTATAAATAAGTAAAAAAAAAAAAATGTTTTAAATAGTCCCTCCTACTTCCCCTTTAAAGCCCCAGACTTACTCAAGGACCATCAGTAAATGAAAAGACAATAGGAAATAAAATGGCTCAATATAAATCAAATAAAAGAAGGAAGGAATCATAATGTCACTATATTAAAGAAAAAAGGTATTTACAATAAGTAAAATTTCTGTTTTTCCTGGCATTTAGTGGCAGTACCAGTGGGATATAACAAGATCCCGGGAACATTAAAAAGGGTAAGTCTCAGCAAGCTACAGCTTGAAGCACCTTGCGCCCAAAAGCAGCCTCAGAGGACGAGAAGATGTCTAGCAGATAGTGCTAGTTAAAGGTATAAAGAGAGGACCATGTTGCTGCTTTGCAGTTGTCTTTAGGAGAGGCGTTTGATTTTTCTGCCTATGAAGTGGACATGGCTCTGGTTGAGTGTGCTCTAATGGAGGAAGGTATTTTAACATCATGCAATTCATAAGCCAACTTGATGGTGTTCGTTAAAGGACCACTATAGGCACCAAGACCACTTCAGCATAATGAAGTGGTCTGGGTGCCAGGTCCAGCTAGGTTTAACCCTTTTTTAAATAAACATAGCAATTTCAGAGAAACTGCTATGTTTATAATAGGGTTAATCCAGCCTCTAGTGGCTGTCTCATTGAGAATGCTTTCCTATGGACTCTCTGAATGTGCGCACGGCTCCTGCCGTGCATGCACATTCAGCCGGTGACTGAAGAGAAGAGCTCCCTGCCCGGCGCTGGAGAAAGGTAAATTTAACCCCTTCCTCTCCATCCAGCCTGGCGGGAGGGGGACCCTGAGGGTGGGGCACCCTCAGGGCACTATGGTGCCAGGAAAACTAGTGTTTTCCTGGCACTATAGTGGTCCTTTAACTACCTCGCCAGAGGGGTTTTAAGAGGCCCCCCATGCCCTTCTATTTACCCTGAAAATGAATAAACAGGTGATCAGAGGACCTAAAATCTTCTGAATGGGATAAGTAAATCAGAAGTGCTCTGCGAACATCCAGGTTATGCTACTTTCGTTCTTGATCCGAACTTCCCGAACTACAGAATGATGGAAGCAACAGAGGTTCATTCAGAGATTTTCTTGAAAGAACTTTCGGTAAAAAAGAAGGTTTAGTATGCAGTACAACGTTGTCCTGATGGACAATTGTGAAGTCTGGTGAAGAGGTAAGGGCTTGGATCTCCCCAATTCTTCTAGCTGAGGTAATTGCTACCAGGAATATAGTCTTGAGAGACAGAATTCTTAATGATACACCTTCAAGTGGTTTAAATGGAGCTTCACATAAAGACTGTAGCACCAGCGATAAATCCCAGGATGGGAATTTAAATTTCTGAGGTGGTCTTTGTAGAAGAATGGACATGAATACCTAATCAGCAGACACGTCGCAAATTCTTGCAGCAAAAAAACAGTTGAGGGCCGCAGTGTGAATCTTTAAAGTAGAGACACTGTGTTTTCAAAGCCTTCTTGCAGAAACTGAAAGATAAAAAGCATAGGAAAAACCCAATACGTCGAACCAGGAGTGGATACCAACACCCAGAAATATATATCAGAATGAGAGTGAATGGAGAAGTAAATTGGTGACATATACAGTATTACTGAATAGCGGTCACAGTTAATTAGATAAATAAATATATCTTAGTAAATAAATAAATGCAATGCAGAGAAATAAATAAATTAAAATAAAATTAACATTAAAATGGAATTGTGCAAATTGATATTGTCCACAGTCTTAATTCAAGAATTAACCCGATCTAATGATAAAATGAACAGTCCAAAAGTCCTTGCAATGTACGCTCATATAAGAAACAAATGGCTGCAGAAACTGAAGAATCGACTTGACAGAGGGAAGGCAATGAAAGCAATTATGCAGAACGCACCAATGGAGAAATTGGTTCCAAATCCTCAAATAGATACTAGACGTAGAAGCTCTGGTGGAGTTTAGAACTGAATGAAACAGATTATCCGGAATGTCCCGATTCTTCAGGATTAACCTTGCAAAAGCCAGGCCGTCAATCTGAACATTGTTTTCTCCAGGAGTTAATCTGAGAATGGAAGCTCCCAGTAGTCCAGTGCCATAAGTCGCAATGCCAAGAACCAGCTCCGGTTTGGCTAGTATGGGATGACAGCAATCACTCGAGCTTGTTCTGCTTTGATCTTCTGTAAAGTTCTTGGGATCATTGGGATAGGAGGAAAAAGGTATGTCAGACCAAAACGCTGTCTAGAACCCGAGGGGCCCTGTCTGAACAGTGAAACAAACTTCGGCACTTTTCTGTTCCTCCTCCTTGCCATTAGATCTATTACCGGAAGACCAAATCTTTTTTACTATTTCTGAGAAGACTTGAGAGTGTAGAGACCAATTTGTTTGTGACCATTTGTTCCTGCAGAGGTCGTCTGCTACCACATTTTGTTCGCCTTTTATGTGAGCTGCTGAAATAGATTTCAGGTGTCTGAGACCACATCCTAATCTCCCCACAAAGAACTTGCAGGCCTCTGATTCTTGAACCACCCTGACTGTTGATATTGCTACCGTCTTACTATCTTTACTGCCTTGTTCAGAATCCAATGTTTGAATTTTACTAGGGCATACCAGACTGCTTTAAGCTCTTGGTAATTGGAAGTGTGTTTTTTCTTCCGGATTCCACAGCTCGTGACGGAAGTGTGAAAGCAGATGTGCTTCCTATCTGAGTTTTGATGCGTCCGTTGTGATAATCACACACTCTTTCTGCTGGAAATGAAAACATTGACAGGCATTTTGTTTCCACCAAAATAGCAGTTTTTGGATTTCTGTCGAAAGGGAGAACTTTGCATCTAGGTCTACTTCCCTCTTTGTCCAATGAGAGGACATTTCCCATTGAACTGGACGTATTGCTGATCTGGCCCATTTGACGGCTGGAATTGTACACGTCAAAATACTCAGAACACTCATTGCTCGCCTTATGGTGTAAACTTGTTCTTGAAGAAACTAAATTTCTTCCTCTCGTTTCTGCCTTTTCCCCAGAGGGAGGTGCAGAGAAAAAGTCTTGGCATCTAGGATGAAACCCAGAAATTTATTTTTTGCGTTGGCAAGAGCAGGGATTTAAATTTTTTTTTAAATAATCTAACCATGATATTCAAGGATGCGCATTGTTGTTTGAAGCTCCCTTTCCAGATGACTCCTTGAGTCGGCTAGGATAAGCCAGTCGCCCAGGTATGGGATTAAAGAAAACACCCATTTCCCTTAACCTTGCAGTTAAGGATTTTTGTAAAAATTCTTGGGGCTGCTGCAAGACTGAAGGAAAGGGCCTTGAACTGAAAGTGATGGATACTGGAGCCAGAGTGAACTGCAAACCTTAGATACTTCCTTATGGTTACCGTCATGGGAACGTGAAGATATGCGTCCTTAAGGTCTAAAGTTGCCACAAAAAAAATATATATATTTTTGTTTAATAAATGGGTGACAGAGTGAGTTGTGTCCATCTGGAATTTCTGGTACCGAATATACTTGCGGATATTGGAACTCTTTCTATCACACACTTTTTAACAGTGCCATAGCTTCTGCCCAAATAGCTGCTTTTCTTTTAAGATGGGTAAGATGAGTTTCTATAATGTGGTGTAAATCTATTTTCCTGAGGTAAAGCTTTTTTCGTGTCAGACATTTGTTTAATCAGGTCTTCCAGTTGGGAACCAAACAATTTCCCACTTTCTAGAGGCAGTTCCCATAAAGAAACTTTCGAAACCGTATCAACGGACCATGAACACAGCCATAAAGTCCTTCTGGCTACTGAAGCAAGTCCCATTGAACGTGCCAACAATTTTAATTGAGCACCAAGCTCGCAATCAAATTGGCAGACCACCTCTTACCTAGTGCAGGTCTCCACGTGGCATAAGAAGGCAGACTCTCCGACAGCTCTATAAGCAGGACACAGAGCAGGGCACACAGCTCACCTCCCATGGAGCTATCGGCCAGATCCTGCAGACAGCAACCAGTACACCTCACCAGGCTCCCAGTACAGTCAGCGTGTCCGTCCCGAATGGGTCAAGAAAGAATATGGACGGTCCTGTGTTAAATCTTGGGTTTAAAAGGGGAAGTAGGAGGTACTATTTAAAATGTTTTTACTTATTTACAGTCGGCTTGTCCCTCAAGAGGATAAAAAAAAAAAAAAAAAACAACTCACTTGTACTGCCATTATATGCCAGGAAAATTAAGATATTAAATGTAAGTGTGCACAAATAAAGTTTATGCAGTGACAGACTTAGCAAGACATAAAAGTAAAATAGAATAAATAAATAAAAAGACCACTGGTAGTTTCCTCTTGGTTAAGGAAAATGGATCATCATGTATCATGGATAAGGTTTGTTGGTTAAAGGACCACTCTAGGCACCCAGACCACTTCAGCTTAATGAAGTGGTCTGGGTGCCAGGTCCCTCTAGGATTAACCCTTTTTTTTTTTTATAAACAGTTTCAGAGAAACGGTTATGTTTATAAATGGGTTAATCCAGCCTCTAAAGCCTCTAGTAGCTGTCTCATTGACAGCCGCAGAGGCGTTTGCGTGCTTCTCACTGGGAAAATCACAGTGAGAAGACGCAAGCGTCCACAGGAAAGCATTATGAATGCTTTCCTATGAGACTGGCTGTTGCGCATTCAGCCGAAGAGGAGGAGGAGGAGGAGGAGAGCTCCCCGCACGGCGCTGGAAAAAAGGTAAATTTAACCCCTTTCCTTGCCATCCAGCCCGGCAGGTGTGGGACCCTGAGGGTGGGGGTACCCTCAGGGCACTATAGCGCCAGGAAAAACGAGTATGTTTTCTTGGCACTATATTGGTCCTTTAAGGAAAATGTATCACCATGTATCATGGATAAGGTGTGTCTGTTAAGGAAAATGTATCATCATGGACAAGGTGTGTCGGTTAAGGAAAATGTATCACCATGTCATGAAGGATAATGAATCAAAGAATTTTAAGGATGGAGATGACCCCCTTTATTCCAATGAAAATATTATTCAAACAATTATCTATTAAAAGAAACTGTGGCTCTGTCTTTTACATGAGTGACCATATCAACCTCAAACTTTCATTGTCCAGTCTGGTTCCAAAATGCTGATTTAGGCCTAAATTTTATGATTTATTCAGACAAGGAGAGTGAAATTAAATGTTAAAAGAGAAAGTATTTTTTTTTTACATTCTTTATTTTTGTTTTATTAAAGTATGACAAGGTCACGTATCACATTTCAACGTCGTCATTACAGTAACAATATTTTTAACGTCAAATGTGTGGTACTAACATTTAACTAGAGAGCTGCAAATGTCTTTTTTAGTGTACGCTTGGTATCAGATATTTTAAAGGATGAGATTGCAGCAGCCTCATATTGTGTGTGGTAGAAGATAATACAATCAGGTGAGTGCAATTGATCTGTAAGAGGGCTATAGCTGTTCATCTGGGTTAAGCCTAATGTGTGACAGCTGTTAAATTTCAGTTGGGGAAACCTATTTGCCTTGTAGGTGGTATGGCTTCGCTTGGGAGAGCCTTTACTCTCGGTGTGAGCTATATCTTTTCGAACTACTTTTGGTTTGGTGTTGGGTCTTTGTACCCTGTCTGCCAGGGGTAAGGGAGGGTGAGTGTAGGGGTAGTGGTAGGTCTAGTAGGATGGGTAGGAATTGTAGGAGTTGGAGGAGCAACTTTGTGAGCTGTCAAGTCTGTGATATTCTGGGGGTTGTAGGTAGGTCGAGTTGAGGGGGGGGAGGGGGGGGGAGAGGGGGAGGAGTCTAGTTAGTCTAGGCAGGGGTGGATCTGGGATCAGTGCTTCCCCAGCCTCTCCTCCATGGGTTCCTATCTGTGTGGCACCCCCGGCTACAAACTCGGTCCAAGGATATCAGGTCAGAGCACATTTATCCGAGCATCCCTGCAGGACATCTCCATACTATGTATATTTTCCACCCTATCTACCCATTGCCGGAAGGTGGGTGCATCCTCACGTTTCCAATGAGCGGGTATCAGCGCTTTTTTTCGGCTGTGAGTAGGTGTATGGTGAGACTTTTTTTGTATTTTTGCAGTGGTGTGTGTGTAGTTTAGTAGCATTGGCAGGGGTTGGAGTGGTAGGCCAGTGGTCGTGATTTCTCTGATCTTCTGGTTAACCATTCGCCAATATGGGGTGATCTGTGGGCAAGTCCACCAAATGTGTAGTCCTGTGCCAGTTTCCAGTCCACACCTGCAGCACTCACTTGGGATTGATTTGTGCATGTGGTTGAGGGTATCTGGGGTCCTGTACCAGTGTGTTAGGATTTTGTAGTTGCATTCTTGATATTTCAAGCGAATGGATCCCTTGTGTTTCAGAATGAATATTTTCTCCCATTCCTGGTCAGTGAGCGTCTCCCCCGTGTCTCTCCCATTTTCTGGTGAATCTCAGCGGAGTCTTAGTTCCTGTCGCCAGGAGCGGTGTGTATAGGTTGGAGATCCCGTGGCTAAGTGGTTGTCTGGCTGTGCATAGATGTTCGAGGTACCATAGGGGTCTGTTGAGGTGGTGTTTGCCCAACATAGACAGTCAATATTTTTTTTCTGATGGTAGTGGAATTCCTCCAACGCCGGTCTCCGGTCTGGCATCAGGTCCGCAATTGGTTTGAGGTCCGTGTCCGTACACCACTGGTGCATGTATATCCAGTCAAACTCCTGGATGTTCTTTCGGGGCAGTAGGGTGCAGCCCCCCTGCTACCCATGGATTGCGCATGACAGGTGTGAGTGGGTTAGGGGACGTTGTGAGTTGCCTGGAGTACCTTATCCCGCACCAAGACCTGAGAGTTGCGTCAATCATGGGGTTGCCCGTTCGAACCCCCTGGTATGAGACCCCCTCCAAAGTACTGCTGGGATCTTCCCTTGTGCTTGGTGAATTTCCATCTGCGCCCACTGATTGCCCGCCGGGTTGGTGTGCCAGTTGACCAGACTGGGTAGATGGGATGCTTGATAGTATGTCAGAATGGACGGTAGTCCCTCACCTCCCTCCCCTTTGGTTCTCTCCAGCGTTGACCTTCGGATTCGTGCTGGTCGATGGTCCCATATGAAGTGGCAGATCGCTGTCGAGAGGGTGCGGAAGAACGCTTGCGGTACGGTGATTGGGACCGTCTGGAAGAGAGAGCAAGCGGGGGAGTAGGGAGAACGTATTTTTAATACAGTGTTTACATGTCCCCTATATCTAACAAATATGTACTTGTGATTTAAGAAAAAATTTAATGTTGAAATCAACAACAATTTACTACAACTGGGTGTGCCACCATCCCTGTCAAACAGGGTTGTAAAATCTACACCTGGTTTTTTATAGAGAAAGCATACAGACAAAAAAAAAAAAAAAAGAAACCGGTTGCATTTCTCCTTCCCTTTTGCAATGTCTTGTGTCTCTACCTTGTCCCAACTGAATTCTGAGATTTTGTGATAAATCTTTTATACAAATTTAAGAAAACCGAGCATCTCACAAATGAAAGTTGACATAAGAAGTAGTTGGTTTTCAATGCTGCAAATTCCCACAACCATTCCTCCCCAAGAAGAAGCAGAGTAGGCAAAAAAGGAAAAAAGAAAATGGTTTTAGGTTTGAAGGAGATATGATGGATTTAATCAGTAGGAGAATAGAGGAAGGCAAGAAAGTAACTCTTCCACCAAACTATCTCCACAGTTACTTTTAAAGGGACACTATAACCATGTCATTATTGAAGTAGTTATAATGCACGAAATTAAGTGGTTATAGTGCACTAGTTCCCTGGCTCCATTATTGGGGTCTACAGGTACCTTCAGGATTGCCCTTCTGTGCTGCTCATGCTAAGGCTTCCGCAATAATCAGTGCAGTGATGGGTGCCAGTAATAGAATGCGAGCATCAGCTGACTGCGGTAAGCCTATCCGAGTCACCCATCACAGCTTTGAGTGGGTATGGTTAAGGCTGTATTGCACACACCAATGGGGTTAGGGCTGCAAGCAGCTGGGGACATTCATTAAGCATTAAACAGTTTAACATTGAAATGAGTGATTGTGTCCTGTGAATCAAGGCACTATAATCACTTCACTAAGATGAAGTGGTTATAGTGCATCCTGTGTCTTTTTTTTTTTTTAATTCTTTATTTTTCGTGCATAGATTATACATGTAACTATCCTGTGTCATTTTTAATATGACAGAATGGTAGAAAACAACTAAAGGAGCACACAATGGTTGTAGGAGGTGGTTGAAAATAAACGGTCCCTGGGAAAAACTTAAAATATAGTTTGACAAAATGTTTTGTTTGAATTGTAGCCAAATTATATCCAAGGCCTAGCTTGTGGCAAAACCATGCTATAACTATAAGAATGTTGCATACATCAAAATAGGTGAAAACACAAGTAAATTAGTATCCTTATTCATCCATTCCATTAAGAAAATTACCAATATAGACAGTGTGCAGCCAACTCCAAAGTGCATTACATCAGTCCAAAAACTATCAGTAACTGAATATACATCTCAAGAACAAGAGAATTCCTGCAGCCAAGAATAGAAGTAAATTAATTTAGAGAGAAGACAGAAACCAGTCATGTAACTACATCTACTGATTTCAGAAGTATGGCTTTCTAACACCTGTGCTTTGAACAAGTAATACTTGGAAAGCCTGGTCTTGGAAACAAAGATCGCTATGTATAAAGCACAATTCCAGGGGAAGAATTTTAAAAGTTGAACAAGTCAACAATATTCTAGCAGTCTCCATGGGGACTGCCCCACAACTGCCTAACTGAAGTCATTTATAAAATGATCCCAGTTTGTTAGTAAAGGGAGACAAAGCCGCATCCTTGTCAGTTGCAACATTCATAGAGGATAAAACCATGGTTGGTGTGCTTTGTGACAGGTCACCTATGTTAGAAGCCACAAAAAGGTTGCAGCAAAGCATAGAAATAACTGGACAGTGTCACACTGAAACAGATCACAAAAGGAGTCTGTGCTGACAGAGGTCAGTGCTGTAGTCTGCACAAAAATTTACCAACTCAATAAAGAGGAACAAAGTACCTTAAGAGAATATGTGTGCTGTTTACGCAAGACTATTTTGTAATGTTCGCTAATAACGCAAGTTTGCACACTTTGACAAATGTCACTCGTAATACCTAAGGGAAATGGAAACAGCATTTTATCCAGAGAGGACTGAAATGTAACTGAAAAGATTGAGAGTGCAGCCTCACCATTTACACATAAACACACACACACTCACAAACAATTCACTTTTCAAGTTGTCTGTTAATCATCTAGTAATCACTTACTCATTACATCCTCTACAGGAAGGATCATTAAAAACTAGAAAAGCTAAAATTTCTGGGGAAATTGTGTGAAGTGTTCTTGCCTCCACCAGTAGTCTACAACTGCAGTGGGTGGAGTAACTGTTATTTATTTATATAGCACATTTAATTGCAATGCTGTTGCCCAAAGTGCTTCACAGTTACATTAAAACATACATTTATAAAAACATTCGCAGGTGTACAAAAAAAAAAAATACTGTATGTTGTGTAAAAACTGTGGGAGGAGTTAGGGTGCTAAATTTGGCTATAATAAGAATAATAATATATATGTGAGATAACATTAAGTGGTCTTGCTATGCAAGAACACTTAAAAAGCCCTCCCATCTCTCTACACTTCACCGGTGTTTCCACTGTCGCTTCACACTACAGATCCACTGCACATCAATTTTACAAACTTGCTGTAGTGGTTACAATGCCCTGGCCCTTTTAACCCCTTAAGGAGAGAGCCAAACGTACACTTTTTGATCAAATTAAAACGTAAACAAAACTTGGAATTTGACCATATGTCTGTTCAACCGTAATTCACCTCTTTCATATTAAAGGACCACTATAGGCACCCAGACCACTTCAACTTAATGAGGTGGTCTGGTTACCAGGTCCCCCTAGTTTTAACCCTGCAGCTGTAAACATAGCACTTTCAGAGAAAATGCTATGTTTATATCAGGGTTAATCCAGCCTTTAGTGGCCGTCTCATTGATAGCCGCTAGAGGGCTTCCACGCTTCTCACTGTGATTTTCATAGTGAGAAGACGCCAGTGTCCAAAGGAAAGCATTGAGAATGCTTTCATATGGACTGGCTGAATGCACGCGTGGCTCCTGCCACGCATGCGCATTCAGCCGAAGAGGAAAGCTCTCCGCCCGGCGCAGGAGAAAGAGGCAAGTTTAACCCCTTCCACCCCCTAAAGCCCGGCGGGAGGGGGGCCCTGAGGGTGCACTATAGTGCCAGAAAAACGAGTATGTTTTCCTGGCACTATAGTGGTCCTTTAAGTGCACCCACACTTATTAAATATAACTTTATTCAAGAGAAACAGGGCTTTCATTTAACATCAAATTTAGCTATGAAACAATTTAATATTAATAAAATATTTCAAAAAATGTGAGAAATGAAGAAATTGTTATTTTTTTAGTTCTGCGTGACATTTTAACTGTGAATGTCATAATACTGTTTGCTTTTACTGCAATAAAATACATATATTTGTATGTCTCACGTGTAAAACAGTACCCCCTACGTACAGGTTTTATGGTGTTTTGGAAAGTTATAGGGTCAAATATAGCATGTTACATTTTTCAGTTTTTTCACACTGAAATTCGCCAGATTGATTGCCTTTAATACCGTATGGTAAACCAGGAATGAGAATTACCCCCATGATGGCATACCATTTGCAAAAGTAGACAACCCAAGATATTGCAAATGGGGTATGTCCAGTCTTTTAGTATCCACTTAGTCTTTTTGGGTTTTGTTTTGTTTTTTAAAACACCCCTCCCAACTCCACTACTGGGAGACTGCAGCAAGTTTTTCTTTCCCCTCTTAATAACTTTGGCTGGTATTGAGGGTTCATTGGAATTCTTTCCAGATTCCAAGTGCTGTGTAGCTCATCTTTCCTATTTTCACCTGGTTCCACATCAGCACGTCATAGTCATAGTCCAGTGTGGTTGTCACCAAGGCTATTATTTCTTTGGAGGTGGGCAAGGATGGGGTTTATTTTACCTAGTTTTTAATATTTATTTTCTGCCCAGACCTAGGTCCTGGGCGCTGTCATCTTTGTGTGGGTAGATGAAGTCCCTGTGGGACACATCTGCCCACACTAGGGAGCTCTGTGAAATTCCCACGCATGCCCAGTTAAACACTTGGGCATGCAAACAGAAATTTTATCTATTATTGTCCTCCCCCACCCCAGCGACTAGGGACCCCAAGCCCATAGTCACCCCATATACCCCCCCAAATAAAATTAAGTCTCACCCACGCTCCTCCTCTGATCTTTGTTGATTCACCCTGCTTGTGGACACTTCCCCAAGCTGGGCAAAATCTGTGTCACAGACACACTGACTTCGTATCCAGAAAAAAAGGTCAGCAACCACAGATCTCCCCAAAACATGTGAGTGCACTCTATTCCACCCAGTACTTTACATGAAGGGGTGTGGGGAAGTAATAAGCAGCACCTCCATTTTATAAAGCACATAACACACAAAGAAAAGCAAAAGGCACAGACCTTTGGTTGAAAACTCAAAAAGGAAAAAGTAATGTTTACCGATTTTAGCAATCTGCAGCATCACGTATTGGAATATGTGTAGGGGACAACAAACCTGAAAATTTATTTACAGCACCACCTGTTCAGAAAGGTTCTGAGTAGGAATCGACCGAATATTGGTTTTGCCGATATTCCGATTTTTTTTTTTTTAAAGTATCAGTAGATAATCACCGGTAATTCCGATAATGATATGGGCCGGCATGTCCTTAAGGCGGCACAAGCGGCCGCCTTAGGGCGCACCGGCTAGATTGGAGTGACCATCAGGAGGTGGGCCAGGCACTCTGTGTAGCGTGGTCGAGCAGAGCAGTGCCCACCGCGGTACAGGTATTTATGCTTCCTGTACCTGGCCAGACTGAAAGGAAGTGCTTACCGAGAGAGACAAGACAGGGGGATGTTACACTTTGGGACAGGGGAGGGGAGGAAAGAACACCATTGGGGGAGGGAAAAGAACACTGGGGTGAAAGGGAGGCGGGGTGAGAGAAGAACATTAAGGGAGGGAACTAAGGTACAGGGAAGGGAAAAACATTTTAAACCTGAATCAGAAGATCTCATGATGGAAGGCATTGCATACCCTGGCACTGAAATGGTAATGAAGGAACAAAAATAACATTCAGCCTTTTCAAAATCAAAAGCAAATTGTTTCAGAGCAAAAATGATCTATTTACACTATTACTTTGGAAAGCAGGGTACAAGATTTCATTTCCATGTATTGTTTGCAGCACTGTAGCAAAACATGATCTAGTATGTACACATGCAAGGCACTATTTAAAGGAAGGCACACTAGACATGTGTGGATACTTCCTTTAACAAATAGACAAACAAGAAAAATTACAACTACATAAATATTGTGCCAGGCCTGCCACCACAATAAAATTAGCAACAAGCATGCCTTGCATAGGATCACATCAACCTCCTCCATAGTATTTATATAAGTTTAGATCTTCACAATTTCCACAAAGCAGACCTAAATTGTTTTATTCTGGGAAAAACACCACCAGTAAAAATGGCAAAATAAAAGATTTACATAGTTGCAGGTGTATAAATATATTTTTTTGCCTAGATTAGGTGTTTTTAATAAAACTGAAAATTGTTCAGCATTAAAATGACTGTTTAGTAGATAAGCGAGTGCGCTGGATTTTCTTTTTCACTGTACTTATTGGCCCCCAGCAGCACCCTAATTTAGCGTGTGTAGGTGAGTGCAGCCAAACCCTTATTTTCTCATATATGTATATATTTAGGAGTCTAGCCAGCTCCATGGGTTTTGCACCCCTCCCTGTTACAGGTGCCTCATCTCAGGATCCTATTTAAGCATTGTACTGCAGAGACCTCGAGATGGAAGGATTTCCCCAAGTGAGAAGCTCATTTAGCAGACAGAGTAGGACCTGCCAAAGATGGGGTACATTGGCGTTGTGGCAGGCTTATGCAATGTATGATCATATACTGTAACTAAACCCCCATTATATTTTTTTGCCTAGATTAGGTGTTTTTAATAAAACTGAAAATTGTTCAGCATTAAAATGACTGTTTAGTAGATAAGCGAGTGCGCTGGATTTTCTTTTTCACTGTACTTATTGGCCCCCAGCAGCACCCTAATTTAGCATGTGTAGGTGAGTGCAGCCAAACCCTTATTTTCGCATATATGTATAAATGTGGCTAGCAAGGGTCACAGTTGAGCCACTTTATCTGAAAAAACTTCCATTAGCAACACAAGTAGTGTCAAAGCTACATAGACCACTAGAGACAAATGGAGCTAGGTAGCGGTATGCATTCCCCTCTTTAAAGAAAGATTCTGTAATTTTAAATTGAGTATACAATTCAGATTGTTCCAGAAATGCCAAGCCAGGTGTTTTACATACAAACAATTGCCAAGCAGGGAAAAGTGTCATTATTGCAATGTTTGATCAGCTGATGTTTACTTCATGTTTAATAAGTGCACCCACCCCTTCATTAGATATATTTTAACTATATATCACTTATTGTGATAAATCTAAAAGATAAGGTTCTCACACAAGGCAGAAAAACTGCAAACCATGTGCTTCAAATTTGTCACTCATGCTATGGCACTCCTTGTGATTATGAGCTGAAGAGTCTAAGCACATCTGAACGACATTGATTAATTTGTCTGAGTCCCGTGCCATGCCCTGCATTGCATGGTTAACATGCCTCTAGTGGCTGTCACTTCCACTCTATTAGTTCAACTTGGCTATTCAATTAGATTGTCTCAGACCATTTTAATGACGCAGCACGGCATTTTGCCACAGACGCACTTGCCTGCCAATGTTTCCCTATGGAGACTCGTGCCCTGTGGGAAGTAAGGTACGTAAAATCCTTATCTGACCATGGGAAGGGATACCTACATAGGTAGGTGAGCACTATAGCATAAGGATTTGTTCCCAACGGCACAGTGATCCATTACTGGCTCACAGGAAGCTCCTGCAGGTCCTAAAAGGCTATTAATAGAGGAGGCGATCCATTCTAAATTAAACACACTGTGCAAGAAAGCAAGATTAAACATTAGATATCCATTTAAAGGAAGTGTTTAGGAAGACTAAGTCACATGCAGGGAGGTATGACCGAGGCTACATAAACAAAGTGATTTAATACATAAAAGGAAAGAATTGAGCAGTGAGTGCAAATGTATGATCTATACAGAATAAAATGACTCCATTAAGCTAAAAAAAGGTTGCTCTTACAGTGTCTCTTTAATGAACATCCATTGGTAATCTTGGTTGTTTGAAAGTACAGCAAGTACGAAAGGTAGGATAAGGAATCAATTAATATAAGCCATAAATTAAGCCGCAAATATTGAAAGTAAGGAATATCCCCAACACCTTAATGAAATGAATCAAAACAAAAAACAGATTGTACTGAATACTGTGGGTACTAAGTCCAATAATTTGGAAGATCCTGCTTTGTACATTTAAGGAAAAAAGTATTTGATCTCCTGCTGATTTTGAACGTTTGCCCACTGACAAAGAAATGATCAGTCTATAATTTTAATGGTAGGTGTATTTTAACAGTGAGACAGAACCAAAAAAATTAGATACAGAAAAACGCATGTCAAAAAAGTTATAAAATTGATTTGCATGTCAATGAGTAAAATACGTATTTGATCCTCTATCAATCAGCAAGACTTCTGGCTGCCAGGTGTTTTTTATACAGGTAACGAGCTGAAATTGTTTTCCTGGCACTGGAGAGTCCCTTTAATGATTTGGAGAGGATCTGCAAAGAGGAGTTGAACAAAATCCCTCCTGAGATGTGTGCAAACTTGGTGGCCAACTATAAGAAACGTCTGACCTCAAGGCAGACTTTGAGGCCCTTTCAGACCGCTTAGGTCGTGTAGTGAGGGAGGTGGTGGCCCAATTACGTCCAGACCTGGCAAATGTGGAGGCCCGTATGTCAGTGGCAGAGTCTGAGACCAGGGCACTCCGCACGGACCTGGAGCACACCCAAGAAGCAGACAGCCAGCCTCACCACGTGGGTGGACGACCTGGACAACCGCGGCCGCAGACTAAACCTGCGCGTCCGCGGGGTGAGAGAAGGTGACCCAGCGGAACACATACCTGACATATTAAAGCGACTGTTCACCCAGGTACTGGGGGGCCAGCAAATACCCAGACTAGGCCTAGTCAGGGCACTGCGACCAATGCCGGCACCAGAAGAACAACCAAGAGACATCATATGCTGCCTAGAAAACTATCAAATGAAAGAAGACATTCTGCGCACGGCCTGCCGCATGGGGACCATACGCTTTGAGAGCCAAACCATATCGATTTATCAAGATCTATCCAGATACACCCTGCAAGCCAGAAGGGCCTACGCCCGGTAACATCCGCACTGCAACAGGCAGGAATACCGTACCGCTGGGGCTACCCATTCTCACTCTCGGCTAGGCACGGCCCAGATTAACTAGTGGTGAAGAGACATGGGCATACCACCGCTCCAAGTACCGGACTAGCGAGATAATTTCTCCAACCACCGCCTGGACCGCAGCAACCACGCCGACCAGACCAGGGTCCTCAAAGACTCCAGCAACAGCGCCGCAGAGACTGGAACCCAGGTCCGGCACGACGGGAGCAGGAGTACTAACTGAACACTACACAGAGAGATGGGGCCGAAAGACTGGGGTCCAACGTGCAGCAGGACGAAAGGGTCAAACTGAGTAATATATTGGGGGACATATGAGAGTATACCAGCCATACAGGCAAATGCTGGGGTGGGGGATGATGAACTTGGCTGAGTTCCGATACGAGACAATATTGGGGGACACCAACAAGGACACACATGGGCCGAATCACCAAGACCACCAAGGGGGAGGGAGGGACAAAATGGAACCATGGAAGAGCCGGGGACGAGAGGGAACAGAATAGACACACAGGCCCAACAGCTGAAGGCAGGGGGAGGAGGGGGGGAATAGGAGGGAACTCTATACTAGACAACCAGAACATCGGGGGGGAGGGGAGGCAGAAATAAAGATGATACTCATCTTTATATGATAATATATGGGGGGGTGGGGAGGGAAGAAGGGATAGGTGGGGGGCACGGAATTCAGGCAAAGAAACAGAGGGGGAGGGAAAGAACAAGAGAGCCTGGGATGCCAGACTAGAGGGAGGGCAAAGGGAGCAAGGAGATGACATGAGGGGACCCACAACAGGTATCTTGAGGCAAAATACACAGGCACAGTCTTTGATCGAACCACAGCATTCACCAACCACGGGTACGCACTAAGCATAGTCGCTAAGGGAATCAAGGGCAATGAGATCCAAGAGAAAGTCCCCAAGAAGGATCAACCGAAACCCATCAAGACACGGACCCAGGGAGACCCCACCCACCGCAAATGCTGCACAGCGCAACCCACTACACAAGACCCACACCACATACACGCTGCCACAAGGCAGCCTCCGGCACAGCCGGCGGCATAGACACCACACAGAAGCCAGAGACTGAATAGGATGTAGAAAAGCCAGCCGCACTAGAGACTTGGGGAGTGAGATTATACAGGGATTAACCCCCAGGCACGCACGACCCCCACCCACAGCACGCCCATATAATCGGCAAGACACAGGCAGGAAGGTAGCACCACCAAACCAGATACTCCACCAGAACAATATCACTTACAGGTCCTGTTGGTAGAGATCACCCCCGCCACACCAGCATACACGCAGCTAGATAGGAACCCACAAAGCGAGGTCACCCCCGGGACAAGACACACAAGTCGAGAGACACCACCGCGGCAAACCGCACCCTATTCGATACGCGGACGATGACCCATACAAGCACAATATCGAAGAGACGGAGCAGATGCTCTAACAGCACAGGAACCAAGGAGACATGTGACCACACACTACGTACCGAGCAAGGTATCACATTTCACACCCTCACGGCACTGACGGAGGCCGCGTGGCCAGGATATTTCGCCTGACACAAACGCAGGCATAGGACACTAAAGTCCCCACTCAGTAGGGGACATACCACTCCCGGCACCGACATAGGCACACCACTGGGTGGGACCTATAGGTCGAACAACCGGGACACTTGCCCGTTACCCTCCGCACCCTCAAAAACACAAACAGCAAGTACCTATTGAGCTTCAGCTGGAACCTAGACGCTAAAAAGACCGCACCAAACCCCGCACACTGGACCCATCCGCCCCGCCTCCGCCGCCCCTCCGAGCCGCCGTGACAATGCCGGTACAAGAACCCAGGGGCTTCGCAAGAGAAGACTTATGCATAGTCTCCTATAATGTACACGGCCTAAATGTCAGGGAGAAACGCACAAGATTGCTGCGTGACTTGAAACACTACAAAGCATCAATAGAGTTTCTCCAGGAAACGCACTTCCGGGAGGGCAGGGCACCAGCCCTGAAAGACCGCAACTTTCAGACTGGATACTTCAGCCATAACCAGGATAGACGTTCACTGGAAGTCGGCATCCTCTTTTCAAAGAGAGTCCCATACGAGGAGCAAGCCACCGTACGATGAAAGCACGGCAGATACATTTTCACAAAAGGCAAGATATTGGACCAAACGTACACGTTCGCTAACGTGTACGCCCCGAACACGAAACACCACTTCCTCCGAAGTACACTAAACACGTTGATGAAATTCACGGAAGGTACCTTGATCATAGGAGGAGACCTCAACCTGGCGATACACCCGGACCAGGACTCCACCTATGCACGCGGAAATACACCGCTCAGACACACCAACACACTCCGCCTCTTACACCTCAACCAGCTGGCAGACTGCTGGCGGGCACTAAACCCATCTACCCGGGACTACACATTTTAGACTCTACTATTACTTAGTACCTCATCGAAACCTAGCCCTGCTCAATACTGCGGAAATCCTACCAATGACTTGGTCAGATCACTGCCCAATTCGCATACGGATGAAGTCACCACTATACAAACCCAGACAAATGTCATGGCGATTGAACGAATCGATTCTCTCAGACGTCACGGTCGTGGACCAGATCAGTCACCACATACAGGATTACTTCACAGACAACAAGACAGACGATGTGACCCACTGACAAGCTGGGAAGCGCACAAAATGGTCATCCGAGGCAGACTCATCGCAATATGCGCGACCCGCAAAAAGAGGGCGGTGCAGACGATACTAAAACTCAGCAAATAAATCGAGGTATTGGAGGCTAGACACAAACGCACCTTAGACACGACGGTATATGAAGAACTCACAACCAAACTGACCCAACTCTCCACACACCTGAACCGCGCAATCCAACGCTCATACCAACACTACAAACATATGATCCATGAACACAGGGACAAATACGGGAGACTATTAGCAAATCTCTTGAAGCAACGCCGTAACCAACTATATATCCAGAAAATCAAAGATGCACACCAACAACTCAGATACCTACCAGATCAGATCTCGATAGCGTTCCATGACTACTACCAGGATTTGTATTGCCTCCGCCAAACCAATCCAGAAACAGATCTCAAAAAGTGGAGGACATCCGCAGATACCTGGACACGGCAAATGTATCGGGAATAGAGGAGGTGGACCAAGAAGCACTAGAGGTCCCCATAACACCAGAGGAACTGGCGCACGCCATCAAAAAAGAAAGAGCACCGGGACCTGATGGCATGCCCTTGCAATATTACAAAACCTTCGCTAAAGATCTATTACCGAAACTATTGAAAGCCCTGAAGTCGATCCAAGATGGAGCCACACCAACGGCCCAATTCACCTCGGCGAACATCACCCTTCTCCCAAAGGAGGACAAAGACCGTACACTATGCCCAAGTTATCGACCGATATCCTTACTGAACACGGACATCAAACTTCTAGCGAGCGTACTGGCGGCATGCCTGGCACCTTTACTACCAGCCACAATCCACCCAGATCAAACGGGCTTCATCCCGGGCAGGGAGGTGAGGAACAACACTATAAGGGCCCTAAACCTCATAGCACACGGGAGGAGGCAGAAGGCCCCAGTACTACTCCTGTCCACTGACGCAGAGAAAGAGTTTGATAGGGTGGACTGGAACCTGATGTTTGAAACACTCCGCTCCCTGGGCATCGGCCCACACTACATGGCCTGGGTACAGCCGCTCTACACCGACCCAACGGCACGAATCCGGATCAATGGTGCACTAACGGACCCGTTTAAGATCCACAACGGAACCAGACAGGGCTGCCCGCTTTTGCCCATACTCTTTGCGCTGACGCTGGAGCCCTTCCTAAGCAGGATCAGACAAAACAAGGACGTCCGGGGACTGACAGTCGGAAACACACACCACAAAACTGGCATATGCGGATGACATGCTGTTCGTGGTCACGGACCCGAAAAAAAAATAAAAAAATTAAAATAAAAAAAAATAAAAAATCGCTGCAAGCGATACAGACAGAATTCAACATATGGCCGCATCTCGAACCTCCGAATCAACTACACAAAATCGGAGATACTGAACTTAAATATTAGCAACACACTCAAGCTAAGGATTCAGAGTCAACAACCATATCGCTGGTGTGATGACCGCATTAAATATTTGGGGATCTGGCTCACACCTGACCCGGGGGATTTCTACACCCATAACTACATACCAATATTAAAAAATGCAAAGGAGGAATTACATAGATGGGGCTCCTACTACATATCCTGGCTGGGCAGGGTAAACGCGGTAAAAATGATGCTGCTACCGAAGCTACTCTTCATATTTCAAACAGTACCGATAAGAGCCCCACAAACGTTCTTCGCGACACTCAAGACTGAGGTCCGCACTTTCATCTGGAAGGGCAAATCTCCGCGCATAGCGCACACCCAACTGATCCTGCCCAAGCTCAGGGGGGCCCTAGCGCTCCTCGACATTGAAAAATACTACCACGCGGCACATCGCCAGAGTCGTCAGTTGGTCGGTAGCCAGTGGCACCAAACCATGGACACAATTAGAAGCAGACACGACCAGCTGTGACCTCAGAACCCTACCATGGATCACCAGGGCAGCGTACAGGAGCAAACATATCACCAACCCATTCATGGCGGCGACCATGCAAGTTTGGCACGGACAAGGCACAAAACATTATCCGACAACAGACCCAGGCCCGCTCCTGCCCCTAAGGGAAACCCAGACTTCCCTGCAGGGGACTACAGCCCCACACCAGGCCCAGCGGGACATACAACAATACCCCGCATAAAAGATGTCCTCCTCCGCCCGTTCAACATCCGACCACTGGTAGATATCTACCCAGGCAGACTACACACATTCGCTCACGCCCTAGCAAGAGCACAAATTACCCAATACACTAGATCCATCCCGCAACAACCGTCCATTACAAGACAACCAACCCAATTCGAAAATCTCTGCACACAAGACAAGGAACCACCGCGAGCCATCTCACAAATATATACTATCTTAATAACGAATAGATACCTACTAGCGCCACCGTGCATCAGAAAGTGGGAGGAAGACCTCGAGGAAACCATGACGGAAGCGGACTGGGACAAAAGCATCACCCTGATACAAAAAACACAGAGCTCGGCACGCACACAAGAAAACTCGTACAAGATATTCACCAGATGGTACCTGACACCGACGGCACTCCACGCCAGGAACCCGGAAATCCCAGATACATGCTGGAGATGCGAGGAGGAGACAGGTACATACACACATATGGTGGACATGCGCCCGCATTAGACCATTCTGGGAAAAAATCCGGACGATAATACATGAGGTTACAGATGAGCTCCTCCCACAGTCCCCAGCAACTTTCCTTCTACACTATATCACTATGGCGACACCAATATACAAGAGATCTATTATTCCCAGACTCCTAAACGCGGCAAAAGTGACCATCAACATCTATTGGAAACAAACCAGCACGCCTTCCATAACAAAGTGGATAGAGGAGGTGGAAGCCACAAGGACATTCGAGGACATGAAAGCAGAGACCCCGAACCTCAGAGACCGTCACACCAAACGCTGGTTCCACTGGACGAGGCTAACTACGTCAGACTCCTTCAGACAACACCTAAACGTGGCGTAAGCAGAGACGGGAGGACGAGAGAGAAATACAACAAAACGAACTGAAGACAGCGAGACGCGGCGAGCCAGGCAGGCGACAGGAGGCGTGCCGCGGACCACCCAGATCCACCCCACCCTGACCCGCACCCAGTCAGCACCACGCCACATTGACAACGGATGACACCTGAGACGAACATACTGCCTACAGACACTACAACATTCGCGAGCCACACACATAGCCACCTACTGGGCTACAATCACGAATAGGGGCAACTAACTATATAGCTACTACATTAACGGACGCCAAATAACACCACACAGGACCACATCCTAGAACTAACGCCACACCACTCCCAACCCCTTGACACACAAGACAACAACAAAACCGAAGCTAGAACAGTAAGAGCGACAATAGGTACACAACAACACACGCAACTAAAGACTACAAAACAAGTAAATAATCCCCAAATGCCTCTATAAAGGCAACAACCTGATCCCCCTCACATGTACGGCTGACTACGCCTCTGCACAGACACCTATCTGCTTAAACACAAATACGTATACCTTAGAATCTATACTGTAAAACCAATAAACATATTCTAAACAAAATCGGCACACACGCACTGACAGCCAGACATCCAGCAGCCTACAACGCAATAGGACCGAGGGACACTCAACACTTAGAACACACAAACCATCGACGTCCTCTATATTATATGCTGGCGCACCCCAGCTCACCAAACTGAATAGTCACACCGAGTATAGCGATAACTACAGAACAGAAATGGACGCGCACAACCATGAATCACCAAGCTACACAAGGCAACGGATATTCAGACACACGGGTAGTTAGCAGACACACGGGTAGTTAGCAGACACACGGGTAGTTAGCAGACACACGGGTAGTTAGCAGACACACGGGTAGTTAGCAGACACACGGGTAGTTAGCAGACACATGGGTAGTTAGCAGACACATGTACCAGAGCACAACAGGACAAGGTTAAACGTCAGATAAAAGCCCCATAGAGGGGACACAAATAGGAAGCTAACAGACCGAATGCCATTAGCAGAGAAGCAAGATACAATAAACACGCTGCTAGGGCACCCCGGGTTTAGACGCAACCGGCAGGCACAAACAATTAATATGCCCAAGGCAGAAACACCCAAAACCATATACGCCTGTGCAAGCGCAATAAAGGCACACTACAAGCCATTTAGCTATACAATATGAGCAAATAAATATGCATATATTTGCTGTACCATACATGCAATGACCAACCAGCCTCTGCGTAGGCGACGAAAGGCAAACAAATGTATCCCTTTCTAAATTTTTTAATGTCTGATCATTACGTTACTTCTACCATTTATACCCAACATAAATGTGTCTTGTTTATGCTTTCTTTACTTAACGTAACACATAGGTAAATAGCTCTGGTCTTGGCGGCATGCACACACGAAATAGATACCCAGATGTGGAGCATAGTATTTACGGTTTATAATGTCATGATTATGCCTCCTCTACATAACGTATTATACGAATATGAGGCTTTAACCATTGCAGCATGCACACACGAAATAGACGTTCAGATGTTGAGAGTGGCATACCATCGTCCATGCTAAAATAGATGTATTTATGGGTCATCACTCAGTGGTAAAACGACTGTTTTACGGCCACATTGCCTCATTGGGCCTTAGGTTAATGTAATTTACTACTGCTTCCCTAAAGACATATAGCTATTAAGATATGCTAACATACACTGATATACAGTAACTGAACGTGATAAATCTAGATCTGAAACGCACGCCTTTAAGTAGGCGACTATCTGTTTTTATGTACACAAACCGTTATACACGCCTCTGCGCAGGCGAATATCTGAATTTATATACCTGTTCAGATCTACAAACCTCTGCGTAGGCAATTATTTGTATTATCAGAAAACTGTTTGATACCCGCATTGCTGTTGTAATGACAAACATATTTAATACAAAAAAAAAAAAAAATTAAACATAGGTGGCCAGGTCACTGCCAACAATATGCTCCACACCTGTGGCCAGCCAGTTTTGACTATTAAGAGAAAAAAAATATGGCGAGTTAGGGCTATTTAATAATCACTGGGGGATGGACAAGATATTGTCCACTAGACATGTGCAAATATTTCTTTCATCCATAAACAAATCTTAATCTGCATCTAAACAAACACATCTCCTTTACAAAATGATTAGTTCTGGTGTGGATTAAAAAGGATTTTTATTTGTACTAATAGATTTGCGCTAAGAAGTCTATTGTTCATCCACCCAAGCCATGGGTTTTGGGTGGGTGGTAATAAAGTCAAGTCATTAGTGGGGGGGAGGAGGGGGAGGGGGAGGGGGAAGGACATTGACCTGTGTCCATCACCCAATATTTAATATTAAGCCCCCCACCTAAAGCAGACTGGTAATTTACAGCTTTATTAGTTAATAGTAAGCAGCTGCTGGCTTTGCAATGTTTTGTAGATATGACCCTAAAGGAATTACACCTTACACTTATATGGGGGTTTTATTGACACTCACTCCTCCTCCCCCCCACCACTCCCTACTGACTGCTAGTGCTGCACACAGGCAAACTGTTTTTGTTTCGTGATTCAGAGTTAAAGGACCACTCTAGGCACCCAGACCACTTCAGCTTAATGAAGTGGTCTGGGTGCCATGTCCCTCTAGGATTAACCCTTTTTTTTTATAAACATAGCAGTTTCAGAGAAACTGCTATGTTTATAAATGGGTTATTCCAGCCTCTAAAACCTCTAGTGGCTGTCTCATTGACAGCCACTAGAGGCGTTTGCGTGCTTCTCACTGTGAAAATCACATTGATAAGACGCAAGCGTCCATAGGAAAGCATTATGAATGCTTTCCTATGAGACTGGCTGAATGCGCGCGCAGCTCCTGCCGCGCATGCGCATTCAGCCGAAGAGGAGGAGAGGAGGCGGAGGAGAGCTCCCCGCCCGGTGCTGGAATAAAGGTAAGTTTAACCCCTTTCCTCGCCATCCAGCCCGGCGGGAGGGTGTGCCTGAGGGTGGAGGCACCCTCAGGGCACTATAGTGCCAGGAAAACTAATATGTTTTCCTGGCACTATAGTGGTCCTTTAAAAATCCAATGACTTGTCCATTGCCCATTTCAAGATACATCCATACTGAATTTCAGACTTGTGAAATTCAAATAAATCACAAATTGCCCAAACTTCAGATAACTCGCAATTTGTTGTAGACAGGCCATCAGTGTGATAAAATTCATTACAACTTATATCTAAAATTAACCACAGACACTTATCTCCATGATCATCAAGCTTTTACCACAAAGTGGTAAATAAAGAGGTATAATTACTGCCTTTGATCTCACAATACAGTATTTACATTTAATGGAACAATAATCAGGGTTTAAATCTATAAATACAACTTCTGCTGATAAAGTAGTTTCACATTTTTAGCGGTCACTAACCAATGGAAAGGTAAGATTCAAAAGTTGTGTTACCATTCAGCCCAACACTAGCTCCCCTATACTGGCCAGTGTATCAATGCGGTTTGTGAAATTCATAGGTGTGAGATATCCCATGTCTTTGTTAAAGACAGACATCTGCAGAGACGGTAAAAAAAAACAAAAAATTTTTTTAAAAAAAACAAAGTGCCCAATATGCATTATGGAGTTCAATGGTTCAAATACGGTCTGTAATATTTAAAGAGGACCTATAACAAGGAAGGTTTTAATGAAGCGTATTTTTGAATTACTTATTGGGGAGAATGGGAGTAGGGAACTCCACTTCATCTAAAAGTTAAATTAAAGGTGGGTGGGGGGATGGAAGAAGCAAAACATATATAGAAGACAACTATAGCTTAATGTAGTTGTTATGGTGAGTATAATCATTCCCAGAGAAAAGGCAGTGTTTACATTGACCCTAGGGACACCTCCAAGTGACCACTAGAGGTGCGTCTTGGGGCTGAGCTGCACAGTATGCAACACTGCCATTCAGCGTCTCCACGCTCTACATGGGAACCCTGAATTTTCCTCAGAGATGCATTGATTCAATGCATCACTATGAAGAAGTACTGCTTGGCCAAATTGGCATTTGGCCCCGCCCCCATCCCACCTCCTTGTCGATTTTAGCCGATCCAATGCTTTCCCTAAATGAAAGCATTGGATTAGCTAAAAATCGACAAGTCTGATGTCATCAAGGAGGCAGATCAGGGGCAGGGCAAGTGCTGGCAAACCTGCGCGGTGCAGGAAATAAGGTGAGTTTTAATTTGTTTTAAAGGGGGGGCATGTTTGTGTTCCTGACCCTATAGTGTTCCTTTAATATAACATTTGCAGGAGCTGAAAGGCTTACAGTGGGGCAGTCAGTTCTCTGGAAGTGACTGTTTCTTATTCTCCTAACTCAACAAATGTTATTGAATCATTTACTATTGAGAGATAGAGAGATATAGGATTGGGAAACTGGCAGAGATTCTTTCAGTTTCCTAGGGTGGAAACTTGTAGCATGGAGGATATACATACAGATGTAAAAAACATATCTTGTAATACCTTTTTTATTGGACTAAATTTTTTAATGACAAGCTTTTGGGACAGCTCAGCCTCCTTTGCGGACATCAGAATTGATGAACTCAGCCAATCACAATGCTTTCCCTGCTTTAATGCTGGGTGATGCACATCTTGCTTCCCATCAGTCATTTATTGACTAAGAGCATAAACCGAGTACTCCCAGCCCATGAATTAGCATTAGATAGCTTAGACACACACAGAATTAACATTAGCCAGCTCTTGACCTTGGCAGCATCAGCAGCTTGTCCAGAGCAAGTTACAAAACTATCAAACTGAGACACCAAACACCATGACTACTTCAAAATACTAGTGGTTATGGTGCTTAGAATGTCAAATCAGAGTCCAAAATGGAGTAATGCCTACTCAATGAAGCTGCCAATGCTAAATTGAATGGTAAAAGGTTTTTAAAGGTAAGATTGTGATGAATGCAAAGTAAAGCTGGTCCTAAAGAAATTAAACGAGATGAAGTGTAGGTGAAGTTACACTACATGCATTTTGTTGGTCGCGGAGACACTATCACTAAGTGTGCTTTCAGAGATGACAACAAAATGAAGAATTCTTTGACATTAAACGACACATACCAAGAAGATCACACTTCATCAGTCCTTCCTTCGAAAAGCAATTTCTGTTTTTAATGGAGGAATTCAAAGTTTGACATATTTCCTAGATCACTTCAGAGTTTTTACACTGTATAATGTGCATAAATTAACCTACCACAAGGGCTTATGGAATATTAAACAGCACAAGACATACATTAGTGAAAGAAAACTCCTAAAAAGAAGTGAATTAAGCTATTCTTACAAGTTAAAGGGACTCTATGCACAAGAACCACTACAGCTTCAAATGAGACAGCAGGCATTATAACAGTTTCATTTAATTATTTGCTTATACCGCATATCTTGGATAGGTCAAATAGATTTAGTAAACATTCTCCCCATGATCTTGTTTTTGTTTCAACCCTTCCCAGTTAGCAAAAGTTATCTAATGAACTTTCAAAGCTGCTGCTTCCTATGGCAAAATAAGGAGACCAAATTGCCCACAGTGGGTCTGTCTAATCTGTGCATGCGAGCGTGCGCCAGTAAGAGTGTGCACGTAAGTCTGTTTAAGTTACCGGCCATCCTCCAATCACATGAAAAGGGTGTTTTTACTCACCCTTTTCCCCAACTCTATGGCGGATATCATCCTTCATGATGAGCTCAGCAAATGCAATGCTTTCCCATAGTAAAGCATGAGGTTATTGTGCAAGCATGGAAGAATGCCACTCTGTGCCAATCCACGTCTGTTCAGAAGGATGCATTAAATTAATGCATTTCCATGGGAAACAATCAGTGCAGAACGTGGCGAGACTGAAGGTAGGTGCTGCACACAACTAGGAAGCACCACTAGTGGCCATCTGAATAACTCACTAAATAGGTTACTTTTCTATGAAAAGGCAGTGTTTGCATTTGAAAATCTGCAAGCACAGGCTATAGACCCCAGAACCACTAGATTAAGCTGATGACTATAGTGTCCTTTAGGAAAATAAAGCTTTGTTAGTTTAAAAAAAAAAAAGAAAAAAAACTGGTTCCTAACTTTCTTAGCTGGCTCCTAGATTTAAAGTAAATAAGTCAAGGCCTGTGATACATGTCAAGATTGTTACAGAATTATATAATGCTCAACTAACAGCTTAGCTATAGTAGAAGAAAAAAAGTAAAACCACAAGAGCAGCAGGTAACGCAGCTTAGAAAGCATTTCATGGTAACACGGAGTCTCCTCCAGCTCAGACCATTATTATGTAAGGTTATCCGACTCCTGTCCCTGGGAGACTGCTCTATTGCAGAGATCCGAGACCCATAATTAGGCATAGATTGGTACGTGTAGTTATACCAGCGCTCTGGGACTACAAAAACCTACTTCCAAGTACTGAGTCAGTGTTGAGGGCGATGACACAAGCGACAGAGTGAGGATCGCTGGAGGTATGCAGCCCAGGTGAATTGTAGAGAGACACTGGTGAGCATACAGCTCAGAAGGCCATTTATATTCTAATGGAAACCTCACCACATTTCCAGTTACAAACTAGAGGAATACTAAATCCAGGACCTACTTCAGATATATTCAATTTGGGATTATGCCTCACGAGAAGATATTAGAAAAGCACCCACCACCTCTCCTGTAGCCTTTCAAAGCCCTATTTCTCGCCAACTAGCTTCTTTAGTTTGTAATAGACCAATCCCCTTGGAGTGTGTTTTCTAAACTGCTGGAGGGTTTCGCCTCCCATGAGAGAAAGTTAATGAGTAGGATAATGCTGGCAGCCCAGAGACCCATTGCCCAGCGTTGGTTTAAAGATGGGTCTCCTGCAGTGGAATGTGCAATATCCAAAATAAAAGAACTATCTCTGACAAGCTGACAGCACATGTCAGATATTTAATGAATTTCAAAAGGTACAGGAATTATGGGGAGACTTTTCCAATAAAACCCTATGATGTATATGTGGTGCTTCTCCTCAGTGGCAGCGGTCCCCTTCCTCTGGCTTTTCTTTAATCTTTTCACTCTATCCATGGCCCACTTTCTTTGAAATCATTCTTAAAAGTGTAAAACTGCAATCTGGCATTGCATTTTGTTCTATGTGACTGTTAAAGACATTGTCTGTGTCAGTGAGTGTGTGTCTTGTAATGTTGCTGGCATCAAAAAAAAAAAAAAAAGTTTTACATTTCATCTATAATTTCAGTCATAGGGAAGGGGTTTGTGTTATTAGTCTAATACCATATACTTTGCATAGTGGCAGAGGCATTGTAGGTGTACAGGACGTAAGCATATATTAATATCTTCTAAATCCATCACTTGCTAGCAGCACAAAAACAATGGTATCAGATTTGTCCAGTGGTTCATGCATGAGGTTCCCCATTGCAACCATTTTAGTTAAGCTTTACTACTTAAAATTATTTTTTAAAAATAGATTGGATTCATAATAAAAACAAACAAAACACAGCAGACGTAAAACATCCTGCCAGGCCAGTCTGCCTCTGTATATAAAACATGTTCCTTTGTCATTTGATCAGCTGTTCCCTTCAGCCCACCCCTCTCCTGCTTCCGGGTAGTAACAGAGCATCCAATCATCTGCCAGGCAAGCTGACAAAACAAGCAGCTCAGCACTCCTGTGCTGCTGTAGTAATAAGCAACAGTTTACAAGGAAGTTACCATTAAGTGTTTACTATGGGCCATTCCTTAATTTTTTTCATTGATTTCTTTTCGATTGTTTTTGTTTATATCTTCAATTGTTAGGCAAGCTTCAAAACTATATTAAAGTTAATTGCATTACAATATGATAAAATTATTTTAAACTGTCTGATACTGGAAGCATGAAAACTAGATTTATATTTACCTAGTAAAGCAGTTTAGAACAGCTTAATTGATACACGTATAATAAAATGGTTCAAGAGTTAATCTGCACTTTAAAAGAGGTGGTTTGGGAGGGGGTGAAGTGTTCAGTGAGTCAGAATTTCTGCAGGCTGGTTGTCATTACCAAGCCCAAAACATTTCCACCTCGATATTAAACAGCCTTGGTCGCTCAGACAAAGGTAACAATGTAATGAATGATTAACCCTTCTCGGAGAGAAGGATTGAGCGTTACCAACTTGGGGTGAATGCACTTTATATTTAAACTATACACTGAAAGCTGAGATTTAAAAGCATTTATAGGTTATAAAAAGCAAAAAATAAATGCAATCACAAATGCCTATGACACAGCATTTGATACACAAAAGGTTTGCTTTGTGGCAAATACAGACAGGACAAGCAGCAAAAACAGGGTTAGCCAACATTCCTTCAAGCATGTTGGGCCTTTTACTCCAAAACCCTGAAGAACCAACACCACCCCTTTCAGCACACAGTCACTTAACTTGTCAATCCTAACACAAACATCTTCTGTCCTGCCCTACAAATACACCTAGGAATTAAGTCGGAGGGGGGGTAGCTTTTAGAGCAAAATATAAGGGCGGACTAGAGGTGGGGGAAGAAAAACAACTACAGTAACTTCTGTTATGCCACGAAGACCCTCTTCACACAAATCCCATCACCCCACTGGAGCCAGGCAGACCCCTCTGAGAGGGTATAAAAGTCTACTTTCATTAACCCTTTCATGTATACAAGTGATTGCATGACAGTTTTAATTCAGGTAGCTCAAGATGTTTAGCCCTTTGTACTTAATGAAGAAAAATGAGCTTTAAACAGGACAGACATTTAATGGAATCTGAATTACCTTCAGATATGTTTGAACAAAAACTTTTTTTCAGTGCTAAAAAGGCCTGCAATGCAGACCTGACAAACCCAGTAGGATTGTAGGTGTTGACATAATGCAATGTCATTTTCAAATAGCACATTGAATGAAGGTGAAAAAAATGAACAAAGAAACAGACATTTTAATATCCTCTCTTGTTTAATGTTCTAATATGACAATATACTGCCTTGGTTAAACTCATAACTGTAAAATGTAAGAACAGGCAAATCATAAGCTCTGCATCACACTGCACATTCTATTATTGGTGACAATACAGTGTGGATTTGTGATAATTTGAGGTTTTCAACTGTAGCTTGCCTTTCCTTCAGCACAAATAGATTGGCATGACACCCACAGACTTAAAGCCTTTTGTCTGCTGCCTTCCAACAAACCTAAGAAGGAAAACCATTCAGATTGGGGTGGAGGCAGTAGGGACAGTCTGCGTCAGAATCATGTCACCATACAGGTGTAAAAATATATATATATTATGGCAGCTGACATTTTCAGTAGTATACTAAACCACACTTAAATTATCCACCCAAAGAGATTGGCTGGTAAGTCTTCCTAGAAGGAACAATGGCTGTATACTAAAGACAAGCCTGTAACAAACATGTATAGGGATCTGCATAATCAGGTTAGCATTGGAATTTACACACATCAAAACCATAAGAGGGGTACCATGCCTGGTAAGACAAGGTATATAGAGAATGTTTACAGTTTATTAAAGCACAATAGCTGTGCAGCTGAAACATTTAAGGGCCCATTCCTTGTCTAAACAAAACTAACCCTTCCCCCTCAGTGAGGCCTACAAGCCCTGACAGACAGGAGCTCCTATTACTGGACTGCCAGCACCCCAAAATAATACGTATTAAAGCTGAAAGCCATTAGACTCTCCCATAGAGAAAGATATTTACAAAGCTACAAAGAGACAAAGAAGTCAACTTGCAAATTCGCGAAAACTGTGAACTACCATTACCTAGATAACTAGACACACAAAACAAATAGAAACATTAAACACAGGTAGTATTAGATGTGTTAAATAACAATACTAATGCAGATCACAGACATGATGTGCAGAACCCCCATATATACTAAAATAGGACTAAGCCCCAATGTGACTATATAGGGCAGCAGTAGACAGCAGACACAGATCTGGCCATGCAGTAACACTATGTACCCCCACAGGTGGTATTTAAATACCATATATATATATTAATTAATTATGGTGGTGATAGTATATCTGATGGCACAATCAATGTTTTGGATGACACTTTTCTCCACCTTCCCCTCTCCCACCCCCTGCCAGTATTACCTGCCAGGCACCATATTACCCACTATCTGCCTGCGTCACGGGGCTCTCAGCCCTTACACCCGGGCTAATGCCCCCCCACACTCATTAGCCCCCATTGAAGGATACAGTTTGACCACATCAGTGTCCATCCGCCTCTTGCCCGGGCTGGGAGATGACATGGCTGCAGCTCCCACCCGGGGTGTCCCTCTCCGCTGCAAGCACAGGGCTGAGGCCAGCCGGCAGGACGGTTAGCGGGGGAGATGAGCCTCCCTCCCCGGGGCCCTGTGTGTCAGCGGGGGCCGCTCACGGTCGGTGTTTATATGAGTGGCTGGGGGGCCGGGCTTCACTGTCGGTTCCCCCCCCAGCCCCAGTATCCCGATGACTTGCTCCAGCCGCCTCCTGCTCCTGCGGTTGTGGTTGCTGTTGATACGGGGGGCTCCCCCTGGGCTAATAAGTAATCATATAACCGTCTCCGACCGCTACTGTCACGTGACCTCGCCAGTAGTGACGCGCCGGTCGCGGAGGAAGACTTTAAAAACAAAGTGGGAGGAGCGTGGCTGGACCGCGAGGAGGCGGGACCAGGCGACTTGCGGCTCAAGCCTCGCTTCCAGGAACCAGATCCCGCCCACCTCTCATACTTTGTATAGACTTGAGTGTTAAATAAACATTCTAAAGGCCGCGCCCATTTTCAAGATGGCCGTGTGAAAAAAAAAAATACCGAAGAGACTTCTGGGGGATGTAGTTTTTTTGTGTGTTTTTTTTCTTTTAAAGCTCCATTCTTGTTTGATTACACTGTTTTGTAAAACGTAATCTATTGACAACCTCTTACAACAAAAACGTAGTGGATAGTGTATTGTTAATTAAAATCAGGTATATTTCAAAGGCAATTTCATATAATCAATAATGAATTCTATTGCTTTAAAATATGTGTATTACAACTATAAGAAAACAAGCAGGAGTTAGCTGATTCGGTAATGTGTCCAATATGGCCTGTAACACACTTCCAGCCTGGTTATTGTGACATGGCATGATGAGGTCATGTAACATGTGATGTGTCATATTCATGTCTGTACATGTTGTAAGGGCCCCTACACAAACAACACAGAGAGACTGGGCCCTCCTGCTCAACCTCTCTATCTCTCTATTACTTACTAGCTAGCTTCAAACTGATACAGAAAACACTGAATATAAACATGGAGAATGTAATAAAAAAAAGTCTTTATTGACACAAGCAGTTTGGTTTAATAGTTTCTGACACTGGTTTGACTAAGAAGAGCGAGTATATGAATCATTTCAATGGTTATATATATCTAAAAAAAAAAAATATATATATATATATATATACACACACACACACACTCACACTGCTAATTTTAAAACTACACAGAGTACCTGCACCTTACTTTTTTTTAACAAACAGGGTTGATGTGTAATGAAGACAACAGTCCAAAGTTTCCATATTATCAAATGCCTTACAAATGTATGTATTTTTTGTATAATCTTCCCTAAATTAAACAGAACGGTCACTACTGAGATTTTTGCACAAACCAGTAATTTACTGGCTATGGGTTCTGCTTTTACTTTACTAAAATTCTTACAAATTGTTATTTTTTTATTTGCATCACACGAAGGCCATCACATGTAAAATGCATAAAATGACACTGAAGAAATACTGAAGTGCACACTCAATCCTAGTATTTCTGTACATGAGCGTGCCAAAGGGCATCAATAGCGACCACGTCACCCTGAACGGAAGTACTGTAAGGATTAATATGTGAGGAACGCCGGTGATTATGATTTACACCTGGGGTAAGTCACTTCTTTATAATTAATGCAGTTATATATTGGGTTTATTTTAATGTTGTTGCTATGTCACTTGATCCTGAGGAAGGTCCCTGCGTGGACCGAAACGTTGATCTTTTTACTTGATGGAATAAAGAACTTTTGAATGCAAAGACCGTGAGTGCAGCCCATGCTTCTATATATTTTTGGTGTTTATCAACATCCCCATAAGGACTGGCACCCGGCAAGTAAACCTAATGCTTTAATGCATATGAATTTTGAGCGTGAGTGCAAGGATTTGAATATTGTTTGTGTATATATATAAAAAACAAGTTTGGTGTATGTGATTGGATGGGTGAATGCGACTAGTTTGGGGCAAGACTGGAATTTGAATGTGACTAATCTTGCAATTGAAAGATAAGTGGGACAGGTCTGTGGGAGGGTGGTGTATGTGGAAGCTGCTTGTGGGGTTGTGTGTGGGGGTGGAGGTTGATTGTGTTGTTGCATGTAAGTGGGGATGCTACTTGTATAGTTTGGGACTGGAATAGCTGCTGTAGAGTATGTTTTTTTGGGATAGGGGCAGAGTCATGTAAGCTCAGTGACAACCAGTCACCGTGATCCCAGTAACAAAATGACAGCCAATGAATGGAAGCATTGGCTTTGTTCACTGATTCTACTTCTCTCTTGCACACTGTGATCTGAGGTGAGAGAGAGATCTGTGTAACAAAGTGTCTTTGAAGTGTACTACATAGTATTCAATGCTTTTATTTAAAAAACAACACTCATTAAAGGGACACTATAGTCACCAAAAAAAACAAACTACAGGTTAATGTACTTAATCGGGTGTCTACAGCCTGTCCCTGCAGGCTTTTAGGTAAGCACAGCCCTTTCAGAGAAAAAGGGCAACAGAAGCCGGTATCTAAATGGTGCATTTAGGAACGCCGTTCCCCCTGCAGGCACTAACCAGAGGGCGGCAAAAAATGACGCCCCCAAAGGCCCTGTGTTCCCGCTGTCATGGGGGGACCACTTGATGACAGGCTGGGACTTACCATATATATCCTGGCAAGGCTGTAAAGATTAATCAAGATGAATCTTTTACTGTGCATCCTCTATCTTATTCAGACACTCCTCATGCAAATTCCCAAGGCATATTTTATCTCACTCAGTTCCTTATTGATATAATACATATGGGGCACAAGGAAACCAAGATTGAGTTTTCAGGCTATTATGATGCCTAAAAGAAAGGCAGACTAGCAGTACATGACTTCCTACAATACTATCACCCTACTAATTTGCAGCTGGGGTAAACCAAGATGGGTGTAAATAAACTTTGGAAGAGCAAAGAGCAAGCCCAAAATAACAGGTCCCTTAGATCCTCGCTGTGGATGGCCCCTAGAGCAAGTTGGAAACTAGTGCCTCAGCCCTTCATCCATTATACACATTTGGTACACGATTGCTTCCAAGATGGAGTTATCTTTTTTTCCATGTACCCTCTATCCATTGACTTGCAATCCAGGCTTTTGTCCTGGATTGGAGACCAGAGCTTTTGCAAGTGTCCTCACACTTGCCAATACACAAATTGGACACATGGTGAGAGATGGCATAATCATACCACTAAACAACATTGAAGGGGACTCAACAATTACACTCATCAAGAAATTCTGATAAATAGATTCATAAACCAAATACAAAAAAAACTAATCTTCACAGTACAATGACGCCATTCGAATACCTGTGTGATGGCTCGACCCAGCGAGGCATGCCATTACTCACCTTTACTCGGCCCACCTCCACCATACATGGGCAAGTTGGAGACTGTTATCAGGGAAACCTTCACATCCAATCAGTGGAGCAAGATTTGTGACCTTGTGCACCACTGCGTGCTAGCGATTAAGATGCAAAAAACAGAGTACATTCCCAGTGGTATAAATCCCCACATTTGCTACAGTCTATCAACCTTAACCTAGATGCCAAGTGCTGGCATTGCCATTTTGCTTTGAACGCATTCCTACACATCTGGTGGGAATGCCCTAAGTTTTAGCTATTCTGAAAAGCGATCCATGGTATATTCAAAAGATTTTCTGATAATCTCCCTTTTTTGTGCCCTGCCCCATTCCTCCATTACCACACTCTTGTCCCAAAAGTGCGATACAAAAAATCCCTCACTATCAGTATTGTCAACACTGCTAAGCAGGTGGTTCCCTTGTTCCAGCAAAAAGACGTACCACCACTGCTTAGTCTTTGGTACCCATAAATGGAAGAGCTGCAACAACTGGAGGAGCTAGTAAAAACAAAGGGAACGTTACCTGCGCTCTGGCCTAAATCCCTATGTACATTTAAACAAAATGGAGGCTCTTTAGTTTTATTCCAATGGCCATTTAAATTTAAGCTCACCTGCCACGTCAAGGCAAGCCTCAAAAGGTGAGTCCTACACTAGCCATTATATTATGATATGATATCAGCCAAGAATCTCCAATGAGACAGGAAGGAGTATTTTATAAACCCTTTCACATTTAACCCTTTATAGGGTTTCTACACATACAATAAACTTTGCTGGTATCAGACAAAATGTAAACATGTCTAATGGGATATGAAGGGTTGTTTTATAAACCCCTACATACTTATTAACCCTAAATAGGGCTATAACACATACACATATGCCTTGACGTGGCAAGTGAGCTTATATTCAAATAGCCATTGGAATAAAAATAATTTTGGGTGATCAAGTGAATTGACAGGTCCTGAATATATAGTTTGTTTATTTTCTTCTTTTTCTCCGCTGCCTAGTGTCCAAAATACTGTGCAATCAAGGGTGCCTGGCATTAATGTTATTTAAATGTCCCTAAGTGAGGACATGCGAGTCCCTTATTGTTTTGATACAATACAAGTTATGGAATCGTGTCCTGCAAAATTCAAGAAATGGTAGAGGCCTGTGTATCCCATGTGCGCTAGTCAGACAACATCTCAGACATAAACAACAAAGACCAGTATCCATAATATAAAACAATGCTTTGTTTAGGACACGGTATTGCTCTACTATAAATATGACTTATAAATAATAATAATAAATAATATAAATAAGCACTAGAACAAAATATGTTTAGACCACGTGACAGCTAAACTACTGTGCAATAAAAGGTGCCTGGCATTACTGTTATTTAAATGTCCATAAGTGGGACCTGCAGGTCACGGGAACAGGAATGGGGCTAGTTTCTGTGGGCTTAAAACCAGGACACTTACTATAACTTTCCTTAGGTGATTCTGTTTAATACATCTGTACCTTTAAATTCTAGTAACACCCTGTCCTACTGTACCTCCAATATGTTATACACTGAAATCAATTTCTTTTATTATATTTGTATTACTGTATGATACTACCTGACTATCCATCGAGAATAAAGATTTTTTTAAATGTACGGTATGCCGGCATACATAAAAGTGGTTAAAAAGGCCTGTAAAACCCAACCCATTTGCCTTTGTATTTTTTAATCTTCACCTGTTTTGTATAATGTTAACACTTGGCGATGTGTACAAAAACAACTACTGTGGGGGGCGGGGCCTGACCGGGGAGCTGAGCAGACACGCTTTCTGTGAGCTCCCGAGCCTGGGCCGGATTTTTGGCGGAAAACTGAGGAAAACTCACCCTAATCGGTCCTTCAGCCCACCGCAACTGGCACAGTGAAAGCGGGGATACAGGAGGACACCTCACAGACCTACAACCCGCTGGGAGTCCGGGCCGGGAACTTGGGGCCTACAACACATGGTGGTGGGGAGAGACGGCCGCTCTCCCAACTCGCCAAACCAAGCGGCACCCGAA